TGCACAACCACAATCGCACAAACACGTATATAAGTAAAAATATATAAGACCAATACATATACATATGTCAGTCACAGCATGGCGTATGCGTAATATTTATAAATAGAAAAATTAGTTCCAAGGAAACATGTGAAAACATCACACCTATTTCAGGGACGAAACGTGCAAAAGTCACGAAACCCAAGGGGGAAAAACATGAAACTCACAGGGCCGGATGAAATTCATGAAGCGCAGCCGTGGAAAAAAATGAGTTTTCATGAAATTGAAAGAACTTGGCCAAAAAGCAAGGAAATCACGAAAAGAGAACGTGGAATTCATGAAATTCAGCAAAGAAAACGTGAATCTTATGAAATTCACGAAGGAGAAGCGTGAAATTCATGAAATTCAGCAGAGAAAACGTGAATTTCATGCAATTCACGAAGAAGAAGCGTGAAATTCATGAAATTCAGCAGAGAAAACGTGAAATTCATGAAATTCACGAACAAGAAGCGTGACATTCATGACATTCATGAAATTCAGCAGTGAAAACGTGAAATTCATGAAATTCACGAAAAAGAAGCGTGAAACTCATGTAATTCAGCAGACAATGAAACGTGAAGCGTGAAATCCACGAAAAAGAAGCGTGAAATTCATGAAATTGCTCATTATTCTTGAGTCCAGAAAATCCGAGGTGAGAAGAGGAAGAAAAAGCGGAACACACGAAACGTGAAATTTCGTGAAAAAGACGATATAAATCATTTATGCAAGCTACTTAACGTGAAATTTCGTGAAATTCATGTTTCCAGATCCCAGCGATGTTTCGCAAAGTATTTGGACTCATTCAGTGCTGGAAATCTTCGGCTAGGTGGCAGGCATGCAGAGTGTATGTATAAGCAGCGCCTTCTTTTTATCCCAAATGCAGCAAAAACATGTGCAAATTTTATGCCCGCCACATACAAAACTGAAAGCCTTGGAGACATGACGCCTCTCTATAGCACAAGTGCATCATGGACAGCCTTGCGGCAAAGGTCATGCCATAGAAATCTAATTCGGGAAGAACTTTAACGTCATCGAGCCCGCTGTTGCCGGGAGCTGCAGCACAACGCTTGCTTCCGAGAAGAGTTGAATGCTTATGCTCAGAGGCAGTAGGGCTTGCAACATGTTTCTTGTTTGGTTGTTTGGCAAGCCTGCGTGGGCCTCGCCGGGGAAAAATTGGTAGGAGAAAAACTCCGGTAATACCTCTCTCTCTGTGGCCAAACCATGCTATCACCAGGTTGTGTGATGTGTTTTTGCGCAAAGCGTGCTTGATCAAAAAAAACCAGCTGACCGCTGACATGAGAAGAATGCTAGAAAAGGCTTGGCGAAAAAATGACATGCGCAGAAAGTCCTGCGTGTAAAAATACATATACGCTTTGTGCGTCTGTGTAAGCAGCCCATGGGGCAACCTTTCCGGAATGTGGTAATTAACAGCCATGCATGATTGCAGTCGGATGGAGCTTCCTATTTGTTTCCCGGGCCGCTTAGAAACCTATACAGCAGTTCAATGTTGCCACGATCGGTTTTGTGCCGCAAAGTAGGGGCATGGCTTTTTTTGACTCCGCTGTGTCGATTCCTCCATCAATGATTTTTGTCGCATTGATCTCGTCGCAGTGCATACCGGAGCGAAACCGCAGTCGCCGACTTTACTGCTAGTAGTTTTTTACATCAAGCATGTAGTTTGACCCTGTATATGTGGACTTGCGACGATGGTTGTTCAGACCGCCGTGTCACCGAAACTTGCAAATTGGCTATGGGAGTTGAGGAACGTATCCCTACTTAAAAGCCTGACACGTTGGGATGCGTGAGAATGAATATATATATATATATTAAAAAAAAACTACACACACATATATATATATACATATATATATATCACACACACATATGTATATATATATTCTGGAAAAAGAGAGAGATTTACAAAATAAATAGCAGTAAAGAGATATGTATATATATATATTTACACATATATAAAGCCAGAGAGCAACCCCCGGTATGCACTTGCAACTTTCAATATTTTGCCGTCCGACAATCACTGCGCATGAAGCTGAAGAGCCCCTCACGGGCACAAGCGGGCGCGGCATGGGCCGCTCCAATGATGACACGCTTGCTCTTTTTGGAATGCTTGCATTGAAAAGCATTGTCGACTGTGTTTGAGCGCCTTTACCTGTCAATGTGGGCTGCCCTGAAGAGCATGGTGCTGCCTTGCTATACCAAAACGTTTTGCAAAAGAAAACAGTGTCCAGGAACTGCAAAGGTTAACAATACAATACAAATGGTGCTTTATCTTCCTCGTGTCCTGAGACTACTCTTTTGTTTTATTGCTGGTGCTTTTGAGGGTTCCCGCTGGTTAAATGCTTTAGGTGTAAGCCTGCTTTCGCATTTTTGGAGGAAACAAAAACCGCTCTGGGATTGTTTGAAAACGGTGGATATCTCAAGAATAAGAAAATAAATAATGGAAATTTAAATGTAACCTGATATTGTGATGTTTCCAGGCCAACCTTATATATTTGGCACGCGCGCCGTACAGGCGCGGAAGTTTCCAGCCTAAAAGAAACAAGTCTAATAGAAGTATCATGCAGGCGCATGCTTAATGTCAAGGACTTGCTGAGGGATGGAAAGTCCAATGCAATCAAAGAGTGATTGGCCGGCCGCGTGCTCTTGGCGATGCGTGGCATCTGCTGATGGTGTGGTGGGGTGGGATCCAAAAGTCAAGCTCTCCTAGGAGCATGTCCATGGTCTAAAAAGGATTGCCTTCCAAATTTGCTGAGGGTGCTGTGGTAGAGTTAGAAAAAGCAAATTTGAACGACGTTTTCATCGTCTTGACAGACGTGCGATGATCTTTAAATTGCCATATGTCACATGTTCGTTCGGTTGAAGGAAAATTATGCGGAGCATGCCCACAGAAGTGTAACATCCCAAGAAAAGAGAAATTGATTTATAAGGCCTTGGGCCGCATAAATCGTTTATAACATCCTTTTGACCTCTGTTGGGAAGTCACTAGTATTCACTGTTCGCTGTGTATATATATATAATATATATCTTATTATATTATTATTGTATATATATATACATGGTCGATATATAGTCGTCATATCCATGGGCGCTGATGGCTGTGGTCGCAGTTCTGACTAGCCTCTTTGTACGTCCTTAATTGATTGCATGCTCGCGTTTTAATGGATATTTCCGGATTTTATTGTTTTCAGCGATGCTCAGGAAAGACATGAACAAGGCCGAGAAGGACCAACTTTGAGTATGTGAGGATGCAGAAGCTCAGAAGCTTCACATTCAGATTGTAGCTGCCCAGTAAGGATGGTTCCCAACCCGTGGGATAATTTCCAAGCTGTATGTATAGTCTGTATAGTGTTCCCGTGAAAATCTTTCGTGAATCAGCTTGTAATTTCCATTTGGTGTGCAGGAGGTGTCTGAGGCCTCAAAAGTGGTCACCAGCGATGCAAACAGTTCACTCCTTACCACTCCTCATGGGGATCAGTGTCGCAGTAGCTGTAGCTAGATGCTTTGCACTGCATCACGCCAACTCTCAAGATGAATGGGAATTTCAGGATCCTAAAACTGATAAAATGAAGGATGAAGGTATTGTACCATATAAGGCAGGCAATTTTTTGTGGGTTTCTTCCCTTACATAGGCCTTACATAGGCTTTATTTATGGCAGGACATCCAATTTAGGTTCCTGAAATGGCAATTGACGAGGGTAGATCCTGCTCTTGGGTTCTTGTATGCTCAGGTGGGTTGGTTCAGGCCTTGGGTTTGGCGCAGGCCTCCCAAGTCATTTGGAAGCTGCATGAACCTTTTTTTTTCGGGTGCATTTAAGCAGTGCATTTTGATGCCTTTTTGCAACGTTTTGTGCTGCGCTGGTGCATTGTATGCCAAGCTGGTCACCATTGTTTTGGACAGGATAGCGAGGTTGCCAGGTGGGCCACTCTCTTCTCCTTCGCACCAAGCCGCATGTTGCCCCTGTGACTAATGGCAGTTTGTTGGCTGTGGGAATGTTAGCACGCTAGCACTGAGACTAGCTAGTTTCAATGCATTTGAAATTTGAAACCGTGATTGACAGACTGCAGGGTGCCATTCAGGATTTAGTCATGGGCCTCATGCAATCTCCTGATGCGTGGCAGGGATGTGGATGACGACAGCGCTTCCAGCCGCAAAGCACTGAAAGAGGTCGTGCAGCTGAGCCGGGTCGGAAATGAACTTGGGCACACTAGCGTTTTTGGATTCGGTGTTCTGTCCGTTTCATTATGATCTTCGCATTTATACAATATGCTCACATGTTTGAACGCCACCCTACAGGCTGCACGGCGCATTGCTGTCTTTGACGAGGACACTAGCAATTGCTCCACATTGCTCCAGATTGCTCCCCTCTATGTCATATATATTACATATATCTATGTTGCTTGCTGCTTACTGTATGCCTTTGTTGCCGAGTCGCGCATCGCTTTTGCCAGGAGCTGTCAAAGCAACGGGCAGTCAGGTTCCAAGATGTTGACTGCCAAGTGGAAGGGTCACAAGCTGTTTTCAGGCGCAGGCAGGCCTTTGAACTGCCTTTAAACTGCCTTTAAGGCGTTTAAGGAATTTCCAGAGATTTCGACCAGTTCAGAGTCCGAGACTAATTGTGAAAGCTTTGAGGCGGTCATGAGGCGCCGAGCTGCAAATCCTTCAGGAGCACGCATATTGGGTGGTGCACTCGGACTATGGAGCATCATAGAAATTCATAGAAGCCAGAGATCCTCTCCAGTTTGCGGGTTGGATTGCAAACAACTCCCACCTAGAAGGCAGTGGTGCGACATGTTCATGCATATACGAAGGAAGTTTGGAAGTCAAACTTCCGACAATATGGACAGATTGAAAAGCAGAGGTGGGAAGAGTCAGAGAAGAAAAAGGAAGAAGAAAGAAGATCAGAGAAGAGAGAGAGAGAGAGTGTCAGAACGAAGAAGATCCCAAAGCGCGAAAAGGTAGAAAAGTCGCGAAACACTGTGTTTTTTCCAATGTTTTGTGGCTCCGGGGGGTCGAAAAGCAGGCTCGCTAAAGCAGCGGGTGCGGAGCCATTTGGGCAGATGAGAGAGATCAACAATTGCACGCCATTGTGGCGCGAAGATGCGCGAAGCACATTTGGAAGCCAAAACGCTAAAAACACCTCGGGTTCGGAGCACCTTTGGAAGCTGAAATGTTAAAGAAGTGCAGGCCGTGGTGGCGCGAAGCACATGTGGAAGTCAAAACGTACAAAACACACCATGTTCGGATCAATTTTTGGAGATTGAGATGTTTAAAAAGGTGCACGGCAAACACTTTCGGAACACTTTTGGAAGTTGAGATGTCGAAAAAGTGGACGCCGTTGTGGCGCAAAGCACATTGCAAAGTCAAAGTCTGCACAGCAAACACGTTCGGAACACTGTTGGAAGTTGAGATGTCGAAAAAGTGCAAGTGGAGTGTACAGGGCGGAGTCTAAGGCGAAGAGTGTGGAATGTAGAGTGTGGAGTGTAGAGTGTTGAGTGATGTTGAGTGTGGAGCGTACAGTGTAGAGTGTAAGGTGTGGAGTGTAACAGGTGCTCTTGGGGCGCGGCATTTGCCCTGTAATTTTCATTCCGCTCCTCATGGCTCTTGTGACATGCCGTGGGCATTTCGACTGCGCAAGCTCGCGCAAAATGGGTGTCGCGCTCTTGGGGCGCGGCATTTGATGGCATTTCCCTGTAAATTTCCGTTTCACATGGCTCTTGTGACATGTCCATGTGCCATTTGATTGCGCAGGCTCGCACAAAACGTGCGGCGCATGTCTGGGGCGCGGCATCATCATCCTCAACATCATCATCCTCCACCTTATCATCCTCCACGTCATCTTCCGCATTACTCGTATCATCCTCATCCTCATCCTCCTTATCTTTATCCTCAACCTCATCCTCCACCTCATCATCCTCAACATCATCATCATCCTCCACCTCATCTTCCGCAACATCATCGTCCTGCACCTCATCTTCCGCAACATCATCATCCTGCACCTCATCTTCCGCGACATTTGTTCATTATTTTCCTCAACATTCTCATCCTACACATCATCAACTTCCTCCTTTTCATTCCTTTTCAACATCATCATCCTCCACCTTATCATCCTCCACCTCATCTTCCGCATTAATTACCATCCTCACCCTCATCCTCCTCAACATCATCATCCTCAACCTCATCCTCCACCTCATCATCCTCAACCTCAACATCCTAGGCATCATCATCCTCAATATCGCCGTTCGCAACATTATCCTCCTCCTCCTCCTCATCATCATCATCATCATCATCATCAACAACATCCTCCTCAACATTATCATGCATTATCCTCACGCACACACTATTTGGGGTCTCTTGGCGGCATATTTTTCCCGAATGCGTAGCAAGGGTTCCCGTTTCACTCTGGGGGTCTGGGGGTTGAGGGTGTGTTCGCTCGACGTCGCGTTCACGGTCGCGACCGTCCGCAACCGTTCGCAACCGTTCGCGCGAACTCCGTATGGCCGTGCCTATGGGGAGTTTTGCAGAGGTGGTCCTTTTTGGAGGTTTCAGACGTCTGGTTGCTTCGTTTCGCGTGGCAGGCGTGGCACTTCGTGACATTCAGACGTGTTCTGGAACGTGTCGAAAGTCGTTTCGCGTGGCAGGCGCAATACTTTTGCGACGTTTTCAGAAGATGTGTTGCAGTTTTCGTGGCAGGCGCAGCACTTTGGATGTGTCCATCGTCATTTTTCGTGGCAGGCGCAGCACTTTAGACGTGTCCTTTTGCGTGTTTTTTGTAATTAAATCGCATTGGCAGGGCTGCGTCAAGTGGTGACAAGGTGCAAATTCCGTGGCAGGCGTGGCATTTTCTCACATGTGCTGAAAATTGACGGAAGCCTCGCACGAAACATCGATTTTGATGTTACAAATTTTCAGGTTCTAAGGAAAACTCGTAGGAAAACGTCGATTTTGGAGCTGCAAAGTGTCAAAATTGGAGGAAGTCTCGTACGAAATGCTCGTTTTGGTGCTCCCGCGTGTCTCGTCTCGAGTCTCTGGTTTTCCCGCGGCGTCGCCGTGTCTATGGGGGAAGCTGCAAAACCTGTCCTTTTGTTATGTTGCCAACTGTGAAAATCGCCGGAAGTCTCGTACGAAATGATCGTTTTTTGGTGCTCCCACGTGTCTCGTCTCGAGTCTCTGGTTTTCGTTCTATGGGGGAAGCCGCAAAACCACTCCTTTTCGAAGGTTTCCAAGGAAGTTGTCATGTCGTTTTGCGTGGCAGGTGTGGCACTTTGTGACATTCCAACCTGCTTGATAATGTGTCAAAAATGTCAAAATTGGAGGAAGTCTCGTACAAAATGCTGGTTTTTCTGCATCCACGTGTCTTGTCTCGAGTCGCTGGTTTTCCTGTGGCGTCGCCGTGTCTATGGGGGAAGCGGCAAAACCTCTCCTATTCGAATGTGTCCAAGCAAGTTGTCATGTCGTTTTGCGTGGCAGGCGTGCCACTTTGTGACATTCCAACCTGTTTGATAACGTATGGAAAATGTCAAAATTGGAGGAAGTCTCACACGAAATGCTCGTTTTTCTGCACCCACGTGTCTCGTCTCGAGTCTCTGGTTTTCCTGTGGCGTCGCCGTGTCTATGGGGGAAGCTCCGCACTCCACACTCTACACTTTACACTCCACACTCCACAATTTACACTTTAGACTCCACACACTACACTTTACACTCCACACTTTACACTTTGCACTTTACACTCCTCACTCCTCACCTGAGACTTTACACTCCACACTCCACACTTTACACTGCACTCTACACTTTCCACTCCTCGCTCCTCACTCTACACTTTACACTCCACACTCTAAACTTTACACTCCACACTCCACACTTTACACTACACACTCCTTACTTTCCACTCCTCACTCCTCACTCTACACTTTACACTCCACACTCTACACTTTACACTCCACACTCCACACTTTACACTACACACTCCTTACTTTACACTCCACACTTCACACTCCACACTTTCCACTCCACACTCCACACTTTACACTCCACACGCCACACTTTACACTACTCACTCCACACTTTACACTCGTCGCTTTACACTCTACACTCCGCACTCTACACTTTACACTCTACACTGACTTTACACTCTACATCACACTCCTTATTCTACACTTTACACTAAACTCCACGCTTTACATTTCACACTCCACACTCCACACTTTACACACCACACTTTACACTCCACACTCCACACTTTACACTCCTCACTCCACACTCCACACTTTACACTTCACACTCCACACTTTACACTCCTCACTCCACACTCCACACTTTACACTCCACACTCCCAACTTTACACCCCACACTTCACACTCCACACTTTCCACTCCACACTCCACACTCCACACTTTACACTCCACACTCCACACTTTACACTCCTCACTCCACACTTTACACTCGTCGCGTTACACTCTCACTCCACACTTCTACAACTTTATACACTCTACACTTACACTCGCACACTTTACACTCCTCGCTCCACACTCCACACTTTACACTACTCACTTTACACTCCACACTCTACACTTTCCACTCCAGACTCCACACTCACACTTTACGCTCCACACTCCACACTTTACACTGCACACTTTACACTTTACACTACACACTCCACACTTTACACTCCTCACTCCACACTCCACACTTTACACTCCACACTCCCAACTTTACACCCCACACTTCACACTCCACACTTTCCACTCCACACTCCCACGCCACACTACACTTTCCACCCCACACTCCACACTCTACAATTTACACTCCACACTCCACACTTTACACTCCACACTCCACACTCTACACTTTACACTCCACACTCCACACTCTACACTCCTCACTCCACACTTTACACTCCACACTTTACACTCCACACTCCACACTCTACACTTTACACTCCACACTTTACACTCCACACTCAACACTCTACCGTTTACACTCTACGCTAAACACTCTACACTTCACACTTTACACTTTACACTCCACGCTTTCCACTTTGCACTCCTCACTCCACACTACACTCCACACTTTACACTCCACACTCCACACATCTCCACACTCTACACTTTACACTCCACACTCCACACTCTACACTCCACACTTTACACTCCGCACTCCATACTCTACACACCACACTCTACACTTTACACTCCACACTCCACACTCTACACACCACACTCTACACTTTCCACTCCACACTCCACACGCTACACTCTACACTCCACACTCTACACTTTACACTCTACACTTTACACTCTACACTTCACACTCTACAATGTACAAACTCCACACTCCTCACTCCACACTTTACACTCCTCACTTTACACTCCACACTCCACACTCCTCACTCCACACTTTACACTCCACACTTTACACTCCTCACTCCACACTTTGCACTTTACACTCCTCACTCCACACTCTACACTCCACACTCCACACTCTACTCTCCACACTCTACACTTTACACTCCATACTCCATACTCTACACTTTACACTCCGCATTCTACACTTTACACACTCTACACTCCCCACTCTACACTTTACACTCCACACTGCAGACTGGTAACAAGGGAACATGCACAAGACTGTTCAAATAAACTATTGCAGAAAGGTATTGTGCGTGAGTGCATAACCATGTGTATTGACATCTGTACCATTAACATACGTGTGAGCATTCGGGTTCGTGGGCTTCATCTTGTTTTTTTGAATTAGAGCAATACATTATACATTATTTTTTTGCAGCCAAGCAGTACCAAGGGATACAAAGGGACGATGTTGCGGGTTCAGCAGCCATAGCTTATTTGGGACCATCCGATGGGGGAACTTGGGGGTGCAGTTAAAACGTCGAATGAGCACAATTATGGTTAGCCACCCCATAAGTTGTGATATAACATGATATAATCCCTATGACTACAGTTATATATCCACTTAGTTTATTGTTATATTCATCGACCGTCCCAATCGTCGCGACGTTACCCTGCCCCTACTTATGGATAAAGTGGGGTGTGCTAAGCCGTGGGTCTTGAATGGGGCCAGCATGAATCCCCGCAAGATCTGAAGTCGTCACATGGTTCACTTAGTAATAATAGATGTACATATATTTTAAATATCCATTCGCAATCGATGGTTTTGCATCGACAATGTTGAAAAAAAATGGTTTGGACCGCAGCAGTTTGGTATGTGTGATCGTTGATGTTACCCACGCAATGAACATGCGTCTCAATGATATTTTTTGCTTTGAAGTGGCAGTGTTTGTGTTTCTACAGTTAGCAACTACAGCTGCAACAACACTACACTACACTAGAGGACGCTGCGCTACAACTACACCTCACACTACACTGCATTACACTGCACTACACTGCACTGCACTACACCACGCGACAGTACGCTAAGACACTACATTACATTAAACTACGCCCGCGCTTACATCTACAACTACAGCTACAACTACAACTACACTACGCTACACCACACCGCACCCACACTTACGCCTACAACTACAACTACACTATGCACAAAAAATAGATATAGATATATATAGATAAATAAAAAGATAGATAGACAGAGGGAGAGATAGAGAGACACAGAGAGAAGGTGACAGAGAGAAGGTGACAGAGAGAGAGAGAGAGAGAAAGAGAGAGTTTAACATAGTTTAACTAGTTTTCGATCCATCAGTGGGTTCGCTCTGCCATCCATGCGCCACAGCAACCAAACCTCTCGTGTAGGTTTCCTATCTTCGAAACTTCCGCCACCGCCTTGTGCGGTACTATTGGTAGATTTCTTGTGATTTCTTCCATTTTCTTCCGATTTCATTACGCCCAGGCCACGTGCTCCTCGATGGCGAAGCGTTAAAGACACTGGCTGCTGAGTGTGCCAAGGCTGAGGCAGCGTGTCAGGCCCAGAGACGGAGAGCCGGAGAGCTGAGTTTAATTCAGTCAGGTCAGATAAGGTCAGCAGGTCTGACACTTTGCAGACATTTGCAGGCTGTCAGACCATCTGTCAAACCCCTTGCGGTGGCATATTGTTGGGCAGTCGCTGGCCAGTTCATGGCAGTTGCACGGTGGAAGGCTGCAGCCGAAGAGGCAATAGCGAAGAACGATGGCGAAGCTGAGCAGTGGAAGGAGCCAATGTGGACGGACATGATATAATAGAATTATATATATATATATTATAATATATATATATATGTTTTTTTGTGGTGACTCTTGGGTCGCAGTGGTACAAAGATTGTGATTCTGTCGTGATTTTGTGTGTTGTTTCCTGAGAGGAGTTGCTGAAGCTTTGGAGCATGCTTCAGAAAAACATGGGAGAGGCTGGAGCAGCTAGTGTTGGAATGCAGTTCCTGCTATCTCCTTTCTCTTCCTGTTTCTTTGCGTCTGCATGTCCTGTTTGTACGTGCTTGTGTGCTTTCTTTGTCAGCTTTGTGGTTTCGAGCTCTAAAGGCTGAGCAACAGAATCAACAAAATCTAAAGCCGATTAGGAAACAACAGCGGCGATACAAACCATACTGCGTAGATTGGGTCCATGATGGTCCATGGATCATCGAATTCGTTGGAGAACTTCCTATTACTTGCGGAGTCCGGTGGAGTCTGCCTTGATGGTGACAGGACATTGAGCAAGCAGCAGCTGAAGCCAGGGCATGCCGCGCTCAAGAGGCTCGGATTCGATTGTCAGGTGCAGGAACTGAAGGATCTGAAGGAGTTTCCACATGTTTCCACACAATCGAGCGATCAATCTTGAACTCCGATCGCTCGAGCATTGGGCCCTGCCGTGTACAGACCTACCCTAACCTTGCTCAATTCAATGTCGGCAAAGAGTAGCACAGACTGCTTCGATTTGCTTTGCAAGTCACGCTTGCCATCGCTTGCCACTGCTGTGTGATAGACATTCACAGACGAAGGGGCAAGGTAGGGGGAGGATTTTTTGTTCCCTTTTCTTTGGCAGGCTTCCGAAGCTCTTGCTGCTGCTGGCTTGCCAGCAGCAGTCCGGCGAGCCTTGAAATTTGAGAAGGAACTGGCAGACTTGAGCCGTGAAGGTCTGCAACCCAAAGTCGCAGCACCAGCAGTTGTGACATCGATGTCATTTCTATTCAAGTCATCCTTTCCATTCCTTACGCTTTACTTGTTTTCCCAAGTCCTTTACCAAGCGGATTGTGTCTTTTTTGGTGTAGGTCACCGTGGAACGGTGGAAGCTCTCTCAGAGCTTCATCGTGCCCAGAAGCTTGCTTCAGTCCGGGGCTTTACGGCGTATTTTGATGTATTGCTTTCTTGATCTTTCTTGATTTTCTTGGCTGCACATTGAGCAGATTGAAATGTATTGAAGAAAAACGGCAAATATGCAAAAATCCATTCGTGGCCATGGCCCTTCAAACACCTGGAGAGCATCCAAGGCGCACATATTTACGCACATAGCCCCAATATGGATTGACCAAGGTCTTGATAGAGAGATACAATAGTTTTACATAGTCATATATAGTATCGTTTTAGTATGTTTTAGTTTTCTACAACATCAAACCGATCGTTTTCCCGTCCATGGAGGGGACATTCCTTGTAGGGACACTCCTAGAACATTCCTTTTCATTCATATTTTAATTCCAAAAAAGATGCTTCATTCCAAATAAACATGTTCATTCCAAATAAGTATCTATGTTTGATTAATGGGAGGGTTTGGGCGGGTGATTACTGCGTAATAGATTCTGTTCAGGTACAGTATTGTGAATTACAGTAATCATCTCCATTTTTCAGCACCTTCACCTATCCCATTCCAATTTACGGAAACATTATTAAAAAATCCTAGGTTACTCGTAACAGGGCTACTCCTAAAAGTTGCTATCCTTTCAAACAAAAACTCAAAAAATCTAGGCAACTCTCAAAAAATAAAAAACAAAAGTTGAAAACATGCCAGAAAATCAATCTATATAACAATTCCAAAAATAAATATCAAAAAATCCAAGAAACACATAAACAAATCCAATCCAAAAATATCAAAACAAGTCTAAAAGAACATCTAAAAGGTCTATATAAACCAAACTAACACATGCAAAAAGTCATAGTTCTTTTTGTTTAATCACTAAAAAACATAAAAATCAACAACCTCAACAATGAACCCCCTCATTTGAACCAAGCATCAACGCATCAACACATCACTTTAGCATCAAAATAGTCCCAAACCCACCCCCCTACACAAAAAACATCAAAGGGAAACATGAAACATTGAACATCAACACAACATAAAAACCATAACAACCAACAGTGAATGCTGGGATGTCCTAGCATCACAGTTTGACATTTTTTCCCAATCTAAACACAAAATCACACGGAATCACTTCAATCACCCCCTGCAACGATGCACTGATCCTATCATTGATCCTCCTGTTCGCAAACGGTCGTAGCAATGTGATGCAATGTGAACGAAGTGCACCAAAGCATACCAAAGCGAGTCCATGTTGGATGATGTTGGTTGGAAAGGTCCATAGCTGAAACGACGATACGGAGATGCTTCCACTGTGATGTTTTGTCGAGTGAGTCCTGGCCACAGTGCATGAAATGAGTCAAGGTGACAACACTACGTGCCGAACACGCCAAAGGCGAGCGTCTGGAGCAATGATGCAGCTATTTATTGTACGATCCGCACAAGTATACCTGTACAATCCTGTACAGGCGGGTCTACACCTACTCGTGCATACTTATTATCAGACATACAGACACCTCAGACACCCGTAAATATGCACAATCATATAGAAATATATGAACGAATACACAACATACACATCGTATCTGTATATGCGCACGCCATTAAAAACCATAATATAATGAACATACATTGGAGGATCATACGGTTACGGAGAGGATTCTGGAGGATGTTGCGGGTACCAGTACTGTATATTAAGAATGATGTGGAAACTATTTGAAGTGTTCCAGCTCTTTTTTGTATTCGTCCATGCAATGTTGAAAGAGGCCGACTTGGTTGTGCTATTGCATGAATTGCTAGCTTGACCTGATCTGTGAACTGCATTGAATTGCCTCGAGCAAAGGTTTGGAACTTTGCCAAGCAGGGCTTGCTGCCGCAGGTGGGTGTGCAATTTTTTCTTACAAAGCAAAATCCCTTGCGGAAGACATATAAATATATATATATATGTATGTGATTTGATTTTAAAGAGTACTTCTGACCTGGTTGGCAAAAAGGTTCTTTGTGTACTGAGTCAGATGGTTGATATCTGTATTCAATAGCCGATAGCATTTAAAGAAAGACACGTTGAACCTGTCTTCAAGAGAAACAAAGCACAGAAAAGTGTTCAGGCAGGTCACTCGTATCAGTCTGTCCGTGCAACCAAAACGTGACCCTTGATTAGGAGTGACCACAGTGACTACCGTTCAGTTTGCTGTCAAAAGGCAATGGAGATACTTTGCCGCATATCGTGGAATGTCGCCGGTTTCTTACAAACAAGTCCAGTCCAAGTTGCAAGGCAGTCTCGCAGGTGTCGCCGGTGTTCACATTGAGAAGAAGTCATCACACATCAGTCACGCATCATGAAGCAATCTCTTGACTTGAGTGTCATGTGAGTACTTACAGCAGTAAGGCAGTGCTTGGGAGGAGCTTGTTGAGCTTTGGCTTGGTGCTGAGACCTTTCGATAGTGATGATGCGTGAGAATATGTTGATCGTATGATATTGTATGTGATGGTAAGTGTATGTGACAAAACAAATCATTTAAATTCATGTGACGTAATCTATCATGATCCTGCTGTGTCCCAGCAGTTATTTTCAAGATGGGTCAACACAGGCAAGGCTTGGGCAAAGATCTTGAGGTTGCTGCTCAGGAGCCAGCTGACCAGCTGACTAGCGCATGTGTGCAGTAACTGAGTTACTGTATATGTTTCACGTGGTTTGACAAGTCTTTATATATCTTTATATATAATCTTTTTTGGCTAGGGGCTTCGTGCTTTGCCTCGGCAGAATGGCGCAATTGCTGCAGGAGCTGGCAACGGAGAGACCAGAGCACACTTTTTGGCGGAAAGTGCTTGACACAAGTGTAAGTGAAGCAGAGCGACAGTCTGAGCCACAGATTCATGATGATTCATGCATAATATGCAGACCCAACAGGCAAATGGTTTTCAGAATTTCAACATTTTTGTTTGAGATTGAAAGCCAAGGACCATTTTGACGGAAGCTGCGAGATGTGCCGCGCAAATTGATCAAGAGTTCCAACAGCAGCGGCAGAGGCCATCAGCATAGAAGTCGCATTGTGTTAGCATGGTGCCCTGGACTTGCTGCTTTGTAGGCTTGTCAGAAGAAAGAAGGCACCTTGCGCCCTTCTCGCTGAGCTAGTGGACAGCGACAAGGGGCATGTGTAATCGATCTTTTACATCTGTAACCCATGCATGCAGTCAGTAGTGCAGTAAGCTGTTATGGATAGTCCATGATAGTCCAGTCAAAATAGGTCAAGGGCTTCGTTTGCCTGGCAATTTTTCAGCATGTGTTCGGATATGTTTCCACTCACCCTTCCGAAAGGTTGCGGTGGAGAATGTGGGCGACCGCTTGCTGGTCTTGGGAAATGCGGTTGATCTCCAGGCTGCTGGCTTGATTGCTGAAATGGGAGGCCGACAAGCACGAATGACCGAGCAGCACAGAAAGAACACCACACCTTGAGCATGAGACCATACTTGACCTTCGATATCCTTCGATACCTTTGTTTTGAGAAAGCTGGGGAGGGGAGCAAGGAACGGCCTACTGCAACTTCCAATTGCTTATTTTGATCTGAGAAGTGTATGTCATCGGATGAATAGGTGTAGACCTTGGAAAGGCAAACGGTCAGTCTCTTTCAATAATGGTATGTGATGGGAAAGCTACCTTGAGTATCCTTGAGTGGCGCTGCTCTTTTTTCGCCCTGCATATCCAGGTTGCAAACGGTTGATTTATATTGATTTATCTTGATTTATTATGTTTGAGGTTCTCCACTTCACAGTAGGGGGGGTCATGCGCTTCTACATTTTGGCGCCTGTAGACCCCGCCAGCCCAACTCAAAGAGTGCTAATTGCATTTGAAGCATTTTGAAGCATTGGAATTTGGCTTGGAACAGGCTGCTTTACAAATGTGTTGGCCTAACATGCCAATGTTCTCTCCGAATCGTGCCATTAAGGTCCTTGCAAAAGAGACGGAAACTGCAAAATCAGCCTGCTTGGTTCATAGTTTCCATGAACTTCTCACACTCACTTAGACCCCTGATTCATTTTATTGTTGTTGGCGTTGTTCTTCCGTTATTTTAATATCATGAGCTTCATGTCATGCCTGTAGTGCAGCAGCTTCGTTTAAAAGTGAAGCACCATGAAGCACCCCAAAATTTGTCACAGATTTCAGGTTCCAAGCTTGCATCTTTGCAAACAATCTGAATCAAACAAACTTCTGAGGTGAGCGAGCACTCAACGAAGCAAAAGCAAACGACAATGTTGAGGAGGCAGGAACTCATTTCTTTGTAGAAGTACATTGCTTGCATTGCTTACTTCCTGTTGCTTGCACGTCAGCCTCCATCTGCTGTTTTTGGTTGTGCAGGCCATTGGCTAGCCACGTCATCATTGAATAATTATCATTGTTACTCTACGCCGTCCCTCAGAAAGTGCAGCAAGACTGAAAGGATCTTAAACTCTTTGTATATTTTATTCCAAATGAAGTGGGCTGGATTCCAGCGGATTACCTTGCAGTAGAGTGACTTCGGAAGCCACACAGCAAATATTATAATAAGATATAATAAGAGAATACCTCAACTTGGGCCATCCTATGTACACCAGAATTCTGCCGTTTGTGCTGTGGTTTCTATGTGCTTCCAATAACACAAATAAGAGGCCCAGGGCTGGACGCAGGTGCTCGATTTGTCTAAGCCTTAAGGGATCTCAGGCTTCATGTTCGAGCTTGCTGTTTGCCGAGCGTACAAGGAATCCTGTGACGCTGCATGCGCTTTGGTGTCTCAATGTAGATTGATTTCAGACATAGCGTCGAATGTATTCGAATGTTCTTTGACATATATTTATTTTTTTTATTTTATTTTCTAAATTTAGTTTTTTTAAAAAAATATCCTCTGTGGACACAGCCTAGCGGCCTGGCGCATGTGCCGCATGTGATTCAATTCGACCTGAATCCACATGATTCAACATTATTATGAGAGGCTGGTTGGAGATCCTGGGATCATTTCGACCCAACTGCTTTCTTGCCTTTGAAATGTCGAAAAGATGAAAAAGGAGGTCATAGAAGGTCTTCACTTTGTTGACATGTGAGGTATGCTGCTCTGGGAACTGACATGGACGCTGCTAGGAAGGAGGTTGATGTCGTAGCCTCAGAATGTCCAATTCGCAGATATTCGCAGATTTGGCATGTTTTGACATACCGGGCATATATGGGCATACTTGCCGCCACTAAAGTCATGGTTTGCTATGAGGCCAACGGGTCCTTTTCAGGAGAGCCCGATGTTGATGTAGGTGCAACGTGCTCAACATGCTCCGACATACTCATACATTGTATCTATTCACATGGGATCACATGGGTTTGCTGTGGATCTACTTGGCGATTTGATGTGATCTGTTGAATTTTGATTTAAACAAGTATAAAACGGATTAAAAGGGCATTGTTATCCTTGTTCAGAGTAAGAATTGATTGCATTGAATGTTTGGGCCAGCAAGACGACTATTCTCCTGTGAACAGTCCATGCAAGACCAGTTTGCCCTGCAGGCCGGCAGATGGTCCAAAAGGTCATCCGTGACCAAAAGAAGAGTCAGAGACTCACAAAACCAGCAATTCCTGCAGAATGCAGCAAGGGTCAGAGATCAGCAAAAGCACTGCTGAGTCACTGCTGGTGCTTGCTGAACTTATGTGAACCTGAACTGACCGTCCTCTTGGAAGGTGCTGCAAGCTGCCTGACGGCGGTGGAGCTTGCTTTGAATGCGGACTGTTTCCCTGATGTGCTGTATTGCGGTGCATGTTGAAAGTTCAGTCAGACCCAAAACACATCAGGAGTCAGGTGGAAATACTTCAAAATACTTGAAAGATATGTTGAGAATTGTTGAGATACATTCCAGATTATCCATTTTGTAATGTGCAGAATCTTTAAATACGCACTCTCACTGTTCGCATCGTTCACAGGATCGCGGGCCCTTGGAGGAGCTTATGGAAGCCCAGCAGGCCTAAATGGGAACTGATGCAATTGGCAGTCTCACTCAACGAGGCGATGGAGAGAAATGCCAGCATGTCATATCGACATAATTATATCGACATATATCGACAGTATCAAGACATACCAAGACAATCCAAGACATTGCATCTCAAGATTAAAAAAAGGGTTTCATCATTTCATCAGGTTTCTTTCTTTTGGAAGTTTGTTGTTAGAGTGGGCCCTGTCAGGCTACATGCAACTTGAAAAGCGGCGGAGCGTCGACAAACCGGTCAAGAGATGCCCAAGTCACTTGCTGAAACGTGGCCACAAGCTTGATGCTGGGAGTCAACCCGTTCCCACACGCGTACTCATGGAGAATCAACAATCAGAACATATCAGAACAATAGAGATGAATAGTGATGAATTGATGTGAAGTCTTACCACATGGCCCACATGGCTATACGGACATACATGACCCAGCAATGTTTGAGAGGCTGCAAGAGTTCAAATGTGGGATGTTCTCGAGGAAGCCCAAGGCCGGATCATGCTGGGTTCATGTATTTTGGGTCACATGGAACCAGCACAGCTGGTCCGTTGCTGATCCGTTGCTGATCCGTTACTGATCCGTTTTCTGGTGGGGAACCGGCTCCAATTTCTCTCAAGCGTGCTGCTACAGACCTGCTCCCAGGACTTCTTGACTCCTTCAAGGACAAAAGTGCTTGGACTTATATACTTCTGCATGATCTTCATGATGTACCGCTATACCTATACCTCAAGCCCAGCGTTGTTGGCTGACAGTTGTGTAATTAGGCTGCATTTGTTGATGTACTGAGGCAGCGACAAGACCAAGAGCCCTGCAAGTCTGAAGCGACTTGGTGATGAGGCGCGAAGAACTTGGGTCCTTGCTGATCAGTTATTTGACACATTTGACGTAGCAGTCTTGGGCATGTTTAATTCATGTTTACATTTTTGGCAGTTGGCATCGCTTGACCCCGCCCCTCAGGCATCCAAGCAACTGCAGGAAATTTCAGACGCCTACTCTCCGCCAAAGCTCCAGGATTAGTTTTCAATCATCAATTTGGAATATGTTGGAGGTAATTAATGATTACGCTACGTGTTGTGAGCGAATGCTGTGCATAGTCCAAGCATGCAGGTCTGTGAGTGATTTAGATGAAGAGAGAGGGAGAGAGTGCGGGGATATTGACTTTTGTCCACTACCATTGAAACCCATGTGACAGCATTGAATGAATTGCATGCTGCATAGCAGGACAAGCCCGTGATGAAAGATTTTGGGTGCCAAACTGTTTTCCGTCTGGGCAGCATGGCATCAAACTCAAGAAACTCAAAGGTAATATCATATCATATTCGTCAAGCAAACCAAAGAGGGTGGCGATGCTGATGCTATCGAATGTCCATGGGGTCAAAGGGGTCCACGCTGCTGCGTCCAGCTTTGCAAAGGCCTGGCATCCCAATCCCGCGATTCAACATTTGCGCCCCGTTTGCAGTAGGTTATCCCATGTTTCCCCCAATGCAGTCCGCTTTGATTGTTTTCTCAAAGTTTTCAAGAAAATCGAAGACTTTGGGGTTTCCGCCTTGGCCAACTTGTTGTTGTGATATGTGGTGATACAGTATGTTGTGATGTTGGTGTTGCATCATGCGGCCTCCCATGGCCTCCCTTTTCATAAGGCTGGAAGAGCTCACCAAGGCATGGGTTGGTAACTGTCCCATTTTGGGAATATTGGACATCACCTTATAGTAGCCATTATAGACCATATACCTAATGGTTGGGTGATGTTCAATGGGGACATTTAATGACCCATGCAAGGCAGTGAAATGGCAGACCAGCAGACCATAGCAGACCACTTGCCCTTTTCCGACACAGAAAAATTGTGGTTCAGATGATGTCAGATGTGTTCTAGCGTAATTTAGATGTAATTGCAGCAGTTGGAGCAGTTGGGCAGTTGGAGCTTGGGGTGGCATCAAAGCGTCAATGCTTCAGAATGCGTCAAGCGATGTTAAGAGCACCTGGACAAGCCCCAAGAGCCCAATTATTGTACATTGAAAATTCATTGAAAATTCATTGAATACATTGATGATACATTGATACTATCACTTGCAAATATGAAGTGCCCATGACTGCCCCAGAACAAGCCACGTGATGCCACATTTGTATACATTTGTTGTTGTGGGGACTCCCTTAGCCATCAAAGTCTGGAGGAGCAGCCTTTGACATGCGACAGAATGACCTGAGCATTGAATGATTTGAACAATTATTTGAACGAAACATGTTGAAACCCTTTGCAGGTCTCGTCCCAGGGAGATCTGGCATCAGACACTTCTCTTTTGTCAAAGCTCGATGCAGAGGCATGGAGAGCATGGAGAGAGTGTAGAAAATTGTAAAAATATTGTTGAATAAGCTAAGGCTATGACATACATCGGATATGCATTGATATGTATCGATATGCTTGGCCAATCTTGGACAATCTACCTTTAGCTTCACTCGATCAGAAGTTCATCGCAAGAGCCACGGGTCCACTGCCAGGTCACCGATATCATCAATCGGTGGAAAAACGAGTTTATTGGCAAACGGAGGGAGGCTAGTCGAACTCGAAGCCGCAGCAGAAGCTTGGAACTTGGTCTGTGAAGCTGAGCCACACCGCCAGCTAGAAAATGCTACGTAGAATCTAGAAGTATTTAGACACTTTCTAGTTGCAGATGGCAGTAACAACTTTGGGTTTAGGAAACTTACATAGCTTAGCATAGCTTAGCGGCTTAGCCTTGCCGGTTAGACGTATTGAAAACATATGGAAACTGTTTTCCGGTCATTTAAGGTCTGTCTTCAGTCTGTCTTCAGTCTGTCTTCCTTGATCTTCCGTCTTGAGGCCAGAGCCGGTCGCCGGAGGCTCGTCCAGCGGGCCCAAAATTCTTGGCCTTAGATGGTGCGAAAGAATGAACAAATCTGCGTTTTTTTTTAAAACAAAATTAATGAATTTTTAATCACGAAAGCTAGCGTCAGCTAGCTGGAGTCTTCTTGCTTTAGCAAGTATTGGGGGGGCTGCTCAAGGACATCACGTGATTTTTCACGCGAAAGGGCCCCCCCCCCACCACCACCCCACCACCACCACCATCACCACCATCACCATCACCATCATCATCATCATCATCATCATCGTCGTCGTCGTCCTCGTCATCGTCCTCGTCATCGTCATCGTCATCGTCATCATCATCGTCATCATCATCATCATCATCATCATCCTCGTCATCATCATCATCATCATCATCATCATCATCATTCATCATTCATCATTCATCATTCATCATCATCATCATCATCATCATCATCATCATCATCATCATCGTTATTCAATTACATTTTATCATTATTGGCAATTATTGTCATTATCACGAAAGCTAGCGTCAGCTCGCTAGAGTCTTCTTGCTTTAGCACGTATTCCGGGGCTCCCCAAGGACATCACGTGATTTTTCCCGCGAAAGGGCCCCCCCTGCCCCCTCCCCCATATATATCATTGTTATATATCATATATCAATATATCATTGTTGCATCCTCGTTGGGACGAACAATGCCGCGACACGATGATGACAGTCCCTCCGCAACTCACCTTTTCCCTTCCTTCTTTCTCCTACCCCGCTAGCTTTCGTCATCCACCCCCGGCCTCAAGTGAATCATTATGTTAACATTTTTTTGAAAACTGATTCTTCAAAGGACGCTCAAAAGGCAATGCAGAGGTGGAACAGGGTACAAAACGGTACAACATGGTAGAACATGGTACAACCAGAGTCCCAAAACCTAACAGCCAGGCAGGTCTCCCGGCAGCAGTGTCCACGGCTCATTCAACATCAGTGTCCATCAGCTGAAACTATGTGATCGGAACGGGAACCCGACTTGACAATTTCAATGGTCCACACCATGCTGCAACCCTGCCAATGTCACTGGGCCAACTGCTTTGCACGGATTTGTTTGGACATCCTGGGACAAAGGTTGCAAGCAAAGGATTCTCCACAGCCCATTGAAATGAAAGTGGAAGTTGAAGCAGCTGCACTCGGCAAGTGTGACGAGGCGGGATAACTTTGCACGGGGCAAGTGGCATGTGACACAATGCGGCAAGGATGCTGAAGTTGCTGAATTCGGGATTTCGATGTTTTTTCTCCACCCTTTTTCCCCTGTTCCAGGTCCAAGACGTAATTGCAAAGAACTCTCCAAGCTCACAGCCTTTGTCTCAGCAATTTAGCCTCACTATTTGGCACAGATGTGCCCAGGATTCTGCATCAGCTTGTTCCGCATGCTAGTCACGCTAGTCTATTTCACAGTTCCACTATGGCGACCGCGTGGTCCATTTAATTTCAATCTGTCTGAGTGACCAAGGCTTGAAGACAAGCGAAACATTTGTGGACCTGAGGCCGGCCCAGTGAAGGGACATTCCATGAGTGGTTCTATGGAGGCCTCCTCAACTGACCATATCTGACCATAATGTGTACATTGTACATATGTGTACTCGGTGCCTCGGTGCACTCTGTTATTTTCCTGAGGCACCAAACCAGGGCGACGCAGAGCTCGGTCCTTGGGTACGTCATGGTGCGTCGGGCGTTTGCCAGTTTTGCAGGCTGCCAGGATCTGCCAGGCATTGCAAGCTATGCCAATGCCAAGCTACAAGATCTACAAATATCTACACGTCCAGTCAGTTAATGTTAGTTGGCCTTTTGTTTCAGGACCCCGCGCCCAGAGTGTAAAGAGAAGGTCATCAACTCGAAGGTGTGGCAACACAGGTCACACATTGTAAATTGTCATATCATGTCATATCCACTCCCGGAAACAACGCGAAGGGAGGCGGATACTTCTCAAGTAGTTCTCAGCAGGAAGTAGCTGGTGAAGTGCTCCTGATGGCGTTGCCACCTGTTTCTATCCAGGAATTTGTAGCAAGATCAAATCAACGTGCATCAACGTGCTGCTTGTTTTGCCAATTTGACGCTTTCTTACGGGGAAGGTCCGTGATGAGGAAAGCAATGTGGTCAGGAGACACTCATCGAAGATTCGTTGTGTGAGATCAAAGCAGCTGTGGGACAAGATCCTCAAACGAACGTACCGTTGTTCATATTGTGCGCACTTAAGTTAAGTGATCTTTCTGCAGGGCATCATTGTTCAGTCGTTTTCTATACATCTTTGTACCATCATGCGCCAGGAGAAATCCACCTACTGGACGACGAGTTTCTTCGCCTGGGCGCTTGCCTTCCAGCAGGTCCGTCAAGAATCATTCTGCAATATTCTGCAATATTCTGCAATATGTTGCATCATTATTTGTGCAGTTTGATCATTTCGAAATTATTTGATCATTTTGATCGCTTTAGCATGCTTTGGCCTCGGGATGCATTGCTAATTGCGTTTGAACAGTCACCTGGCTTCAGAACCTGTACCATTTTCCCGATGGCGGTCAGGCTTGCCTATTCTGAGAGCCGCAGTTTGTTGCCTGGAAGTGCCAACAGTGATGCAGAGGTACGCTGAGACCATTTGCTGTTGGAAAGTCATGGGCTCTTCATTGCTCTTCCAGGTGGCATTTGAGGATAAACCTGCAAGTCGGCCACGAAGGCAGGAGAATGATACAAAAGGATGCTAGGCTGCTAGACCAAATTTCAGGATGTCTGAGCTCGGGTGAATCTGTGCCATGACCAAACCAGTGTACGATTTGATACGATTTGTACAAGCATGTGCACGTCTGTGTCTGGCATATTTGCGCTGCACCCCGAAAGGCGCCGCAGCTTGAGCCGTGATGACCGAGATTTGTCAGGCTGCACTGCTGAGATCTGCTGAGAAATTTGGTGGTGCAGTGGCGCAACTGCGTCTGAATTTATGAGACGGGAGAAGTCAACCGGGACAGATGTGGAAAGATGCTTCTGGGTACGTCATGAATTCCTTCAGTCCATGAAGGTGCTGCCGGCACGGAAGCATTGCCGCCCAGACAGCCGCCTTGTGAGCCGGCCAAAAAAGAGGCTCAAAGGGCACGTGGATTTATCATATACAATATATATAATTCCTATAATTAATTATATATAATTTTATATAATATAGAATCATATATGCCGTGTTCATCCACATTCAAAAATCTCTCAAATGATCTCAAAGGCTTCGAAATGTTTCAAAGCTGAGACCAGGAGCTCCGACAAGAGCTACAACAACCTGAGGCTGGTGGTATGCCGGTGGTACCGAGAGCTTTGGGCTCTTCTCAGCAGAGCCTTGACACATCCCCTGGGCAGACAATCACTTGATGTCAGTGCAGAAAGAGCGGCTTTGACAATCCTGCAGTGGGGTGTGTAGAGCTGTAGAGTAACTGAGTAGGTCACCAGGTCTGACACGGTCTGACCATGGGGATCCATGGGGATCCATGGCGCAGCTTTATGCAGGTTTGGTTTGCAGTTTGAGATGCTTGAGGTCATGCAGATGTGGCAGTTTTGCTTCCCATCGGCAGGCTTTGCATAATGACCTTTTGGCCCAACTTGAGCCCCGACCTTGGAATTTTGCCGTCACTGAATGTCACTTTGTGCATGAAGCACACTGGCCATACTGGCCCACCCTGACGCTGAGGATGAAACTATCTGGCCCCTTGACAGGACCGCAGAAATTTGGAGAGACAGGTCTGATGCCACAGCCACATGACTCATGTAACATTGTTTTGGAGGGGAATCTTTGAGAGAGGAGATGGCTCCATGTGTGTTTGAATTGCTCTGCTTTCTCAGGAAGCCAACCTCTTAACACATTCTCCGAGCAGCTTCATGATTCCAAGGCTTGGTGCGGATTCCTTGGCTTTGAAGGGATGTCAGTGGTCTGAAATTTGTCAGAGCTCCAGTGGCATGTTTGCCACATCGCAACCTGCTTGGGTTTGCTTGCAGAATGCTGGCCACCCAGTAGCAGTAGCACCTTCGGGCAGACGAGGAGGCAAAGGTCTTGAGACATTGAGTTGAATGAATATGATTTCCAAGCATCTCCATTTGACTTATGAGTCCAACAGCACAGAGAATATAGGATTTTATTAAAAAATAGAAAACACAAAAAAAAACAGAAAAAACAAACTAGAACCTAAATCAAGCAAAAGCAACATAAAAACAAAAAGCAACATCAAAACCTGAGAAAATCAAGGTTTTGATGTATTTTTTATTTTTCTATTTTTCTTGGTTTTTCCTGGTGATTCTTCCTGTCTGGTTGTTTTTTTTTAATGATTCTCCGTCTTTTTTTTTTGGTTTTTAATTTTTTGCTAAACTCAATTTTCTCTGTTAAAGCCGGTGTCATAACACTTGACAGAATCGCAGCTTCCTTGAAATGTACTCAGTGCTAGTGGTTCTGACACAAGCCGCTACAGTACATTGATTCAATTGACCTACACTGCACAACTTCCAAAGACGGAGCCTTTTTTAGGAGGACCTGGTGACGGCAGCCTGTTGGTGCCTCCGCCATCTGGTGATGTGTCGCGGCACGGGGCTCGGCTTTGGACAGTGCTAGCAGGTCTCACCAAGTCGGAGATGCACTGTTTGAGTTACAGGTGCGACTACCAGCAAGAAGATGCAAACAGTAGAGGCTATTGTACAGGCTCTATATATAAACTTGGAAGCTGACGCGTGGACATCCAGCACAGGATAGAACAACTGAACCCTCTGAGCTCTTTTCATCCATTTCCTGCAGGGTACTGCTACGGTAGGAGCAGACTTTTGTATATAGTGACAGGTGGTGACATTCCACAGAGGGGTTGGCTTCAATCTGCTTCTATGCAAGATGTGCTGCTTTGTCTATTTCTGAAAGCATCTGAAAACCGTACAATACCGTATAGTTATGTATATTTTACAGTCTCATGAAGACTTCGAGGGCATGCTTTAAAAGCCAATGTCAGGAATCCCTTGCGTTTACATTTTACATGCGTTTGCTGAGAGGTTCCGCGATGCCGGTTAGAGTGTCTTTGCAAGATTTTGCAAGTGGAATTGCGTGCGTTTGTGTGTGCTGGTGTCTATCATGGTTGGGCATGGGCATGCTGACAAAGTGTGACAAAGTCAACGAAGCAATGATACGCAATGCATGCTTGAATTTGAGATATTTGAGCGAAACTTGGACCGTCCAGAGTTCTGAAAGATCTGTGCACCAGGTCTTTAAGTCCAGCATCTTCGCTGGGAAATTCGCAATCTCCAGGTCTAGCTGGGCTGGGCTGGGGCATCGGCCATGCGTTGCTAATGTTTTCACAATTGGGCATCAGCTTCTGTGCAAGGATGTGCGTGACAACGCTATGTAGATTTTGGATGATTTTGGATGCTCTTTATTAGTTTGCCACGTCTTCTGGAAGCACAACTGTTGCTTTTGCGGAACTGCTGAGCACTGTAGGTCACATGCCTCGGCGTTTGGATCCTATCGTCAGGCTGGAAATGGGATGCAATCCACGTAGTTTTCCCCTCAAACGCACTGCAAAATCCGAATTGATGTGCAAGCGGGAAGGATCGATACGTGTGAAGGAACGTTTTAAAAATACCTTAGTATTGGGCAAGCGGATGCAAGGGGCACAGATGGGCACAGAATTGAATAGAATTGATCATTTGTGCAGCGTGAGGCCTCACGCTCCTCCTTTGCCATCTGCAGGGCGCCTTCTTCTTGCTACGCAGGAGCAGCAAACCAACACACCATGGCATGGGAATGACGGGATGGGTTATGGGATGAGTCGACCTCAGAAGTTTTTCATTTTTTCCCCCTGAGGAGAGTCCGGCAGACTCGGCAAGGTCATCACCACGCTCCGGCTTCTAAAATAGAATGCATAGCACAAAGAGCCAAGCACTTCAAACAGGCCTGGCACAAACAAGCATCAGACGCGGCTGCCATACGTATCCAGATGTCATGAACACAGATTGGCAGCAGAGGATAGGAAAAGGTTGGTCAAAAGAGGGAACTGTGTCAAATAACTTTTTGTCACTTGCCCGCTTTGCTAAGATGCCTCGGTTGGTTGACTGTGCGTTTGCTGCAGGGAACTTGGCCACCTGGCAGGATGTTTGCTCCTGACAGCCGAATGGTAGCAATGCCATAGCAGTGCCTTAGCAGTGCCTTAGCAGTGCCTTAGCAGTGCTATCCAGTGCTGCTAGTGGAGTGAATTTTCTGCGCCGTCTCAGCCGGCTCAGAAATTCGCGCTCTGCAGCTCTAAATAATGCATGCCCGTGTCTGTGCCCCTATTGCATGTAGGTGCCGATGATTTCTTCACAGTCTGTAGGCCAAGAAAGATAAGACAAGCCAAGAACAAATCTGCAACTGACCTGAGTTGGAAACTCTCCTGTGGCACTGACTTGCATCATGCAAGAGCGTGGTGCGTGCATATGTATTCTACTACAGCATTATGTCTAGTCATTGCTGGTAGGCACACTTTTGGGCCAATGCCATCAGTGCACTCCCCGGTGTCTGCCAGCAAAGCCATCACGCCATAGGCGTGTTGAGGCAGAGCTGTCAGCAGCTCAAGCGGTGCATCCGCTATGCAGAGGAAGGCAGGCTCCACATGGAGCATCATAGACGGTGTATCATGGTGCTTCATGGTGCACTAACTCTTGCATGGCTTGACTTGTGCAAGCGCAAGCAAAATGATTATGTAAAAGTTTGTAATTATTAATGATGTAATAATGATGAAATCAACGCGGAGGGTATCAATGATCACATTGAAACAACTCAATGAGGTGGTCCATAATTTTAGCTCAAAAAAGGGCCAAACATGACATGCATCATACACATATAGTCACACACAAAGAGATATATGACAAATATATATATATATACATATCTATAAGTACATATCATACGGCAGCGGCTCAAAATGTAAGGCCCCGATACATACCCTGGACCCACAGGCGATCCATACTCATGATCCATACATTTCTAATGGACATGATCCGTACCCTTGATCTGTACTTATACCAGGCCGCTTCAGTATATCTTCTCAGTAGGTCCGGATCAAACCTCTTGACTCTTGTACGTAGCTCACTCGTTCCATACGTCCGGATCAACGTGGAACGATCCATACCCGTTCTTTGAGCCATAGCCATATACGTACATATATATATATATGTGTGTATATTAAGTGTATATGTATATATGATTGTATCATTCAACATGGTGCGGTGTATGTGCACAATTGACGTTTACGCACAGTGAACGTCATGTAATTCATGAAAAAACTCAAGCGCAGCCATGCCCAAAGGACTTTGCCTTCATAGCTTTGCAGTGCAGCTTCGTCGCCTTTGGCAATCGTCAAGCTGCCAAACTGCCTCAGGGGTTGAAGGCGCTGCGCTTCATGTACAGTATATAGTGTGAAGCCTTCAGGAATCCTTTTTAATCAATTTTCTTGGACACTTCTGAAGCTCCAGAGGCTTTTGAATCTTTGGAGTTTGGCTTCAGAAGGGGCTTCCTTGAGCTGGGACTGGTCAAAGCTTCACAGCTAGGCCTTACCCAGATCCCGATGCCATAGGGCATCTGACAGGCTAATGCTCAGCCATCCGGAATAAAACATGCAGTGCTCATGGTTGCTGCTAGGACATATCAACCCTTCTTGATGTTGGGCAGCTATCTGTTGCATGTGAGTGCATGTGAGTGCGTGTGAGCATAGGCCAGGTTGGAGTAGGGAAAAAGATCTTTATATAGCAGCTTGCTGAATTAATCTCAAACAATTGACAATAGTTTTCCGCAGTTTGCCTTGTGCTGATCTGCTGCCAGTTTCATTGTTAGAAGTGAAGCAGTCCTGACGGGGGAAGCAACGAGCACCGGTCTCGTGCAACCTAGCCGTTGCCCCAGATTGATTTCTACGCCTTGAGCGCAGCTTCAATGTTTCCATTGCCTCTCTAAATCCTAATCCTTTCAAACCTGCAAGCAGCCTTGGTGTCCTTTCATCAGATAACACTTGATGCATCAATCATCATCAATCTGCATTGCCTAAACCTTCATTTCATTCTCTTCTAAGGCCTTACTGACTGTCTCAGCCCTTCTGGATTAAGACTTCGAAGATCTTTGAAGTACAATGACGAGGCCAAGAGACTGCTTCAAAGCTGTGAGAGACTTATGGAGACTTTTCTCTTCTTGGCACAACCATTCAGCTTGATCTACTTTAAGCATCTTTAAGCTGGCGGGGCGCTGGGCAGGTCAACCTTTGCCACTGCGTTCGCTACCCTTTCAGCAGGGGCCATAGATCGCCACGTTTGGGCACATGGGTGCGGGAGGGTGCAAGCAAAGTGGGCATATATATAATATTATATATTATATATTTAATAATTAATAATGACTATAAATAAATAACATAATAAATACATATATATATATAGATAGAGAATTTACACATATATATATATATTTATACACTGCATGTATATACACCGCATGTATATAATATCATAATTAAACGGAATTCAATGGAACAGTTTTTGACGCCGACTGGTGTTGTTTGATGTGACCAATATAGGTGCTTGCCATCAGAGCTGCAGCTGAGAGCTGTGAAGAGGTGGGGTGAGCAGGATTGACCTCCTACTGCCCCATTTTCATGCATTTTCCTTTTGTCAGTGAAAGCCGTGGAAGCCAGAATTCACACATTTTGTCGATGACCCGGCGCGCTTTTTCGGGCACCCATCGGATCCCATTTCTGCTACCCCATGGCAATTTCCATGCACATTGGATTACATTGGGCAGGGTCTTCTTTGTTTGGTTTGTGTGTGGGTTCTCCCGGGGGGGACATGCCTTTGGGGGTGTAGAGGACTGGGCACCAAGATCATATTATGCTTGCCTGGATCTGTGGGTTGGTTGGCAAAAAGGTTGTGGGCATGCACAAGCGTATAGCATTGCAGTGAGACAATCGCCTGCAGGTGTGGTTTGTCGAGGGGTCCTTTGTGGGCGAAACCTTTACCTGCGGCGAACGGTTCCTTGACTGAATCGGGTCGCATTTGCCGCATTTGCGACACTGTTGCATGACGTTGCTTGATGTAGCTGTAGCTTCAGGCTGCATCATGCTGCACCACGCTGCACCGAGGATTGTGTATTTGCAAACTCCTCAAGGAGGGGGCAAGACAGAGCAGGAGGCTCGCGTCCAGGCCACCGCAATACGTCTCAACTACAATGCTGCTGCATTCCCAGCGAGTAAAACTAAAGCCATATGTGATCATGACATTATCTGTAAACAATTATGCTGCATCCGTACAATTTTAATATCACAGTGTATCCCTATATATATAATTATATATATATAGTATGAACAAAACGTAACAACACTATCCAACCGGATCTTGTTGAGGCGTCCTTGGAAGAACTCAAGTGTGCTGACTGCTGGCCCTGGGAAAAGTACCGAGAAGACGGAGAGACTGAGAGGTCTCCCAAGCCTGGGTCTTGGCATGTCTTGGCATGTCTTGGCATCATTCGCCGTTTGCAAAATCTCCCAAAGGGCACATGGGTTGTCACTAAATCATGGTTGGCAAAGACGCTGCGTAAGTCTGACAGAGGGAACCCACATCCATTATATTCACATTTGAAGATGATGTATACAATGTAGACTTATCAAATGACATTACGGAGTTTTTATGAACATGTCTTTGATACTGAAGTCAAGCTCACGGGCCAACGTTACACTCAGGCGTGGGATTGCGATCGAGAACCACAAGCTCACTCCGGACTGTTTGTCGACAGAAATAAGAATACGGGGAACACATGTGTTTGGCCCACCAAAGGAGAACTTATATATATAATTATGTATATACTGTATATATTATTTATGATATATTTATATGTTTATATATTGATAATTTATACATATATACATATATTATAAATATAAACATATAAATATATTATGATTTATGTTTACAGCTGCATTGAGCAAGAGTCGAGAAACTATATGGAGATAAGGATGCCAGAGAGCTGGTTGTGGAACCAACAGAGTATGTGCAATATATAACATATGATTCTTCCTTCTGCGGGCTCTTACAAGGAGAACTGAACAGACTGCACATAGCCGACTTCTTTTCGAGAGTGGACTGGCTGGCTCTCCACCGGCAGGAATCATTGTCTGGACTCTCGCAGATTGTATCCTGGGGTGTGACGTGGCACTACAACCTCACAGGCACAGATAGCTAATAGCGCGGTCGCTTTTACGGCAGAAGAAGGCATTCCATATGAGACTGGGCTACAATATATAACTAGTGTCATCAGTGTCATTAGTGTCATTAATTATCCAAACCGATTGGCCTAAAAGTATCTAAACGTCAACGTGCCTTTGCTGATCCTGCCTCAGATGGACCAGACCTTGAAGTTTGGAACATGGCTGGAGTTGACTTCGTGCCTCTCATTTGGGGCGCAGGTTTCTTGAAAGCAAGAAGGTAGAGAAAACATGAGAAAACCACGGGACTAAAAGGGGGCAATGGCGAAGAAACAACATGAAACAACTAGTAAAAATGGTCGCTGCAGATCAGACGTTTGCCCGCGACGGATCCACCCCGCGCATCCTTTGACATGCTCAAGTCCCTTCGCAAGGCCAGTTTTCGTTTGATTTCTTGAATCAACCAGCTCAAAACCCTAAAAGCCTAAACACGAAAACCCCAAACCCTAGAACCCTAAAACCCGGAGGCGTAAAGTCAAAATCCCAGCGTGCAGCCAGTGTTTTCATTCATCCTCTGGCCACAAATCCAGAACTTTACTTGAGGGTAACAGTTGAGATAGTTGAGCATGTTTTATTTTTTCTGGGATGTGGATATCTCGCACCATTCGCACCTTTATACTGAGTTTTGGTGCCATCGCCATGGCACCTCTACTGTCACTCTGCTGGGGTACAAATTTTATGCCCAAAATATGCCCAAACTTACTCACCAGCTACTCGTATTTGCGAGATTTTTGCCGAATTTCGCCGCCAACCGAGGCTCTCTCCCACTTGCTCAGGCAATCCAGACGCATTCTTTCTTGTCTTTCTTTTATGTTTGAAGATTTTGAAGTGAGGTAGGAGTAGAGTAGAGTCGAGTGGTGATTAGAACCCAACAGCAAGATGACAAGGATTCAGAGGAATCATTGCATGCCCAAAGACACTCAAAGTTGGATGGTTTCAGAGCTGATTCTTGATGGCAGGCTGATGGCCTCCCTGAGGGAAGAAGCACATTGTTGGGTTTCAATGAGCCAAACTTTCCCAACCAGCATTGGCCCTATGCTGTGCCGCTGTGCCTCTACTTGTGACATCTAGGTCTGACAGAATTTTGCTGCATTTTCTGCCTCAAGTGCTACACCGATGCTGAGGGCCAACCTGGATCCAGAAACTGTCTCCAACCCAGTTCCGCGTTGCGCCCTGTTGAGAAGCACTTTGGATCACTTTGGCATGTACAGCGTGTTCACACCCACTAGATTCATTAGATCCACTATTCGAACTGCATTCTTGGCATGATTGTTTTCAGGCTGCTAACCTTTGGAAGGATGTCGAGGCATTGGCAGAGGAGCACAACATCTCCACTATTGTGCCGGGCTCAGATGATCCAAAAGAAGTTACGTAATTACTCTAAATTGCTAAGAGATACTCTGTTAGACTTCTGTTCTCAGTATCATTTGCCGTTGCTTTGTACGGCAATTTTGGCGATGTTTATGTTCCACGTGGCCTCCACAGCTTCCAACATTCAGCGAGCACTGAGTCATACTGAGTCATTGAGGTCTCTCCATCCATGAATTGGCATGTCTCAATGGAAGCTTGGAGAAGATTATGTGAGGGTTTGATCTTGAACTGAGACTTACCAGGAGTCAGGATGCATGGGCAGGTGCAGAAAAAGCAATTTTAGAATATGTTATATAGATGTATGATGTACATATTTGGATGATTTAGATAGACTTGATGGCATTGCTACTGCACTTGCTGTCATTTCACTGAATCAACTGCTACTTGTCCTGGTTTGTATCACACAAGCCGCACAAGCAAGAGAGCGTGTCCGCGGCCAAGTGTGCACCTCAGCCGTGTCAAGTGCACAGCCATGCACAGCCAAGGATCCGATTGAATGGCTTGAACGTTTCTTTGCTGCCTGCGAGGGTTGCCAGGATCGGGACAGTACGAGAGAAGTGGTCCATGCACACCGGGATTCAACTCCTAGAGAAAAAGACTGAAGAAGTAGACGAAGAAGTCAGTTTTGCGGACACGCAACGTGCAGACACACACACACACACTACCCGGTGTAGATGAGGCCAGGACGTCAGCATGTGCATACCGAATATGTTTGTATAAAACAAGAAAACGCTTTAGTATTGATTATTCATGATTATGTAATATAATATTTATATATTTTTTATAGACAAGAAATATGTTTCAAAGCATGAGAATACTGCGCCAGCCTCATGCATGCAGACAAACAAGAACACACACACACACCAGCACAACGCAATTTCCGGGATAACGCTTTGGCTTCAAGGTATGGTTTGCATGAAATGCCACAATTGAAAATATGGCAATATCATGCAATGTCAGTGTGTCCTGCCTAGGTCAAGTGTGATTGATGATAGTACTATTTACATGTATATAATTTGATGACATGTTTATGTTGCCTGATTATGCCTCAAGGTTCGGCATGCAAGTGGCCGCGGTAATTTTGTCATCTTATTTCTATGGATTCTATGGATCATCATGGGAACCTTTCACTTTCTGGGAATACAGAAGAGATTGTGTGAGATTGTTGTGCAGGTGGATGCCATTGGGATACACGTCTTCACCTGCTACGCGGCAGGGCTGAAGTATCACTTGGATCGGTATCGTGTGTTCGGCACTTGACTGCAGGCTTTCGAGAGTGCTTCCATTTCCTCAAAAATTGATTGGAACACATTGGAACATGTTGGCGACTGCTTTCTCCTTCGGAGCAAGTACCTTCAGTTGGTGTTCACGATGAAAGAAGCACAGACTGGTGCATTGACAGGATGGTACTATTAGCCGTGTGCAGCTCAGGAAAGCCCATGTGGATCACAGAGATTGCTTGCTCTGATCCGAATTCTCCAGAGCGGCTTTCTGCAGAGGTGGGTTAATTGGATATGTTTGCATTGTCTACTGCGGAAAGAATCTGAAACTAAAAGTAGTAAGTTCTACTGCAGCAAAACAGAAACTAAGTTGATCAAGTAGCTGATCAAGCAGATGTTTCAACTTTGTCGCCTTGATATAACGTACTTGCCTGTCGTGAGCAAAGCTTAACCCGTCCACCCACTTTTCAGTTATGAATGTTTGAATATAAACTAATCTGATCATTCTGATCTGACAATTACTTTTGATTTGTTCAGTCCCAGTCCCAGTCCTGATTCTCTTGTGTACTGTAATTATATACCCATAATAATTGATATGAAGGACAGGCCTATTATAGCGTTTTTCTTGCCTCAGGACTTTATATTTTTCGGAAGGTGCTAAGACGAGATTGCAAGGGTTCCTTCAGATCCTTGAACTGTAAACAAGTTTGGTTTCGCACACATATTGCTACAAACAACGTGTCCTTTCCCCACGGCCGTTGCACAGCGGCCCGCTTGACTCTGGCAGAATGTATGACTGGCAGCACCAGGTCAATGTTTGAAGAGTCAGTGCCACACAACGAAAACACATGACAACCCCATTGAGGGAAATAATGTGTACTGTAGCGCTTTCGCCAGTAAATCAGATCACCCACATATGAGTCATATGAGAGTGAGTGACAACAGAGAGTAGTTAGACGTAATTATTCAGCATTCTGCACGCCAGGGGCAGATGGCATACATGATGGAGGCCTGTTTCCGGCGACATCGGCGTACTCACCGCCCTGATGTTTTTGCAAGTTAGTGTGATTTTCACCCAGGCAGGCAAGGGCTATTTGTTGGCCTTGTGTAGGCCATTCCACTGCTGGAAGCAGATGAAGATGTTGCAAAGCCCAGGGCTGAAAACCCATGAGTCACAATATGTGTGATGAGTGTGTATCAACGTGATCATCCCTGATGCTGCCCACAGATGTCTCCGATCATGAGGTATGCCTGGTTCAGCTACTTCAAGAATGAGTGGGAACATCCAATTGCCCTTTGGAGAGCAGGCTTATATAATATTATATGTATATATATATATAATGATTTCTCAATTATTATATCAAACTCGTACTTATCGCTAATTGACATATTTTTTATCAGGGCAGTTGCGGTGCTTGCCTTCCAGTACTTCGAGGATTCCTAAGCATGGAAGGCACAGGCTTTTGAACCTTTGGCACTGCAAAGATGGCATAGCGTCCATGTTCCTTGAAGCTCAGGTGGATGGTGAGTGGCTTGCTGGCATTGATTTTACACCCCAGAGCCATACACATACGGCAGACAATGTGACTTACAATATCTTACAATTATGGAATATGATTGAGAGATGTTTTCTTTTTATTCGGGGTATGTAGGGTGAGCATAGATTCTTTGAAGCACCACGCCAGTAAGGAATGGTGATGCTGGCCTGATTTTCCCAAATGGAACGCTCACGCCGTTGGGAAAGCTCTACAAGAACTTTGCGGCTGGAACCAACCTGACCGAGATTAACATCACTGAGCCGTCATCTACAACTACTGTGAGTCTATTGGCTTGAAATAAGATGGTTCCAAGCACGCCAACAGCAACCTGGCTAGACTGTCAAACCAGTAGTTACACAAGAACCGCCTGCAGCCCAAGGTCAGACCAAGACAGTCACCTCCACCACTTCCATCACGGCCACAGGCCTTGAAAGTTGACGAATTAATGGAAATTCCATCATTGTTTTGAGTCTGTTTTGGGTCTGTTTTGGGTCTGTTCTGGTTTTGTCTTTCAGCCTGGCAGGATCTTCCACGCAAACCTTCACCGGCACTGCCGCCACACTTGCAGACAGCGGGGAAAGCATGCCGCTCTTAATCCTCGCACCATTCAGGTTTGTGTCTTTACAGTTCATTTTCTGACATTGTTATGATATGTTATGATTGCTGCTGTATTATTCAAGTGTGTACAATTTGGCACTAGAAGGATAGCATTAATCCAGGTTTGGATCGGAAGACTTTTGCATAGTTAGATGGGGAGCCAGGGGAGACGTCTTCAACCAAAGAGTCTACAGAACCAACAACGGAGTCCACGACAACCACTGCTGCGGTGTCTTCGACTTCATCAACCGTAGAGGCCACAGCACCAACGACAGAATCCACAACTGTGGCAGAATCCACGACAGAATCCACGACCGCTTCTACTACGGCATCCACTGCTGCATCAACCAGTCAAGAGCCATCATCAGTGTCTCAAACGACGGCAACACAAAGCAGCACCGAAGCTTGGTGCAATGGTGAGACACACAGATACAAATTGGTCTACCATTGTTGACTGAACAAGGTCCAAACCAATTCTCGGAATTGTCTCGCGGTTACATTCATAGCAGGTGATTGAATCTCGTGTTTCGTCGCTTGGGTTTGTGCGCAAGGAAAGCTCAACGACAAAAGAGGAAACATCCACCACTACTTTGCAAACGGACACATGGGGCAGATATGGGGAGGGTGCTAGAGCCCTTGCATATTCTTTCGGTTGAACTTTGGAAATCTCTTGGGCTGGATGTGGGGTGTCAAAAGATGTCAAAAGGGTGGAGTTGGGATCAGCACTTCCTGCTGCACAATGTGAAGGGCTGTTGAACCAGCAATGATGTCCATGCATACCAATTAATTAAATATTACAGTAATCATATGTACAGATGATTTTGCATGAAGAATATCATCATTATCATCAAACATGCGTAGAAATAGAGTTCTCATGATGTCAACAGGTGGGTGCAAAATCATTCGCAGACTGATGAGTTCGTGAGGAGAAAGTGACAACTCCTCTCCGCTCTTTATCAACAATGACTGCGCCAAGTACAACCTTGCCTGAGGCTACACTTCGACTGGGCTTGCGTTGATATGATCAAATAGCTCAGACAGATGTGTCACATTGTGTCATTTGTTTTCTGGTTTTGGAATGTTTTGGAAATTGCAACTTCATCGCTGGCATTCCCTGACTTTAAAATCCAGAAGCTGCAGGGCGGCGAGTCGACAACAACCGAAGAGGTGGATCAAGAGGCTGGCGGGGGCCTGTCGGGCAAGCCCTTACATATTTATATATAATATTTATTTAATCATTTTTACCTGAGTCCTTGAAGTTCCTTGAAATACAGTAATTAATTATTTTGAAAGATCATGAGCGAGCAGGATCTTGCAGAATCTTGCAGATGCAGTCAAAGACGATATTTGCTCTGACGCTCTTGTACTGAGCTATTTCGCTTGCTTTCCTGCCTGGGCTGTCTAAATGATCGAATGTACCGAAGTACCCATGCTCTTTTAGCACTGGGGTGGCAGTCTTGTCTCCGACTGGAATCCTTCAACAAACCTTTTCCTACTAATTATATAGAGGGTTTCAACACTGGTTGCTACAACTGTAAGCAATGGAAGCTTCTGATTTTCGCATATATTCGCGCCACCTCAAAAAGCTATATCATGTCCTTCAGAGGCATGTCCGAATGAAGGGTTCCTATGGGTAGTCCTCTGTTTGGCCAGGAAAATGTCACAAATGAAACCTTCTCCTGCACCGAAGCGGTTGATGCTTGGTGCCAATCTGACCCTGCTTCAGCAGCTCAACAGCAACAGAGACCCTTGAACACAGGAAACACAGGAAACGTATCTCCAGTCTTCTTCAGCATCCAACACCATCAATGCGGCCGTCCTCCACCATTCACGATATTCATGCGCACCTGCAAACGCAGGCACTTGCAGATAAACTCCATGCCCACATTTGACAGACAGAGGGTGCTGGCAAGATACTTGCACACTTAGTTTAAGAGTCGACTTCGGGTCAGGGCATGGTACTGAGCAGACATGAATCTTGACAGGAAGCAATCCCAGATCGATGGCTGAGGCACCTTTCTTTCCACTGCGGCACTGCTCTGCACCTTGGCACTTCGAGAAAGCTCTGATGGAATTAAGGGTAACTGGGGACACTTACCATCCTTCCAATCAACATAGACCCTGCCTAATTGGGGCTTGGAAGATTATTTAGTTTGCACTAAAATTGGCTTGTTTTCAAGGTTTATGTTAAGGGTCCGGGAGGGTAATCAGTGGAAGGAAGGTGAGGCTAAGGCATCCAGGATTTTCTCAATCATGACGATTCAGGGAGGCCTTTGAGATGAAATTTCAGAGCTTAGGATTGGAGGCTGCATGATGCTATGTGCTCGTCCCCTGGTGGTGGGAACAATGCACCACAGTTCGCTGGAACCACCGAGCTGGAAGATTCAGGTGCAGTATGGTGCAATGGTGCAGTTGTTTTAAGTCTATTTTTTTTTGGTTGGTCACAGAATGCGCAATCGTGTGCAAACTGTTCCTGCTGCCCTGTCCTAGTTCACAGTATACGATGTGGAGGCAGTTTTCCTGCCCTCTTCTTGCTCCTGGCTGTTTTGGGTGCTGCAATGGCTGGTGCTGCCTTGGCTTCCCTCTTCTACAGGCTGGCAAACCCTCAGCCCACTGTGCAGGTTGAAGTATGTTAAAGTGATTAGATGGAGTTATTCTTCCAAACTTTGTAATTTGGTTGGTTTCTTGTGATCTTTCTTCAAGGAGACAGAATCACAAGTGCATTCTGTGCTGCGGGCGAAACAAGAAGGAGGAGCAGGAGCACTGCTGTTTTGGGCTGTTGGTTGGCAACGTGTTTTTCCTCCTCTACCCATGATAGAACGCCGATAGACTTGTCTTGGCTCAAGGCAAGTTAGTTCACTTTCAGCAACCTCAACAGGAGCAAGAAGACCTGAAGCGCGCCATTTCTCAGAAGTCCGACTGGCAAGGAAACTGCCTGCCGGTGATGTGTGTCTTGCTTGTACAGTAGTGATCAGGGCGCTTGAGAAGAGTCCTGCAGATTCTTTGGGTCACTCTGGATTGTTTTGAACTTCATCTCGTTACTTGACATTAAACAAAACCCTTGCACATTCAAATTTGGCTGGGCTGTGATGAGGTGGAGCTCAAGACACATCCAGACACACTCGTACCGTTGTTCCCAGCACTCTTTTGCCTTGCTTGGAAGTCTAAAGACTTTTAGCATGCTGCTTGTTCCTGAGGCAACAGAAATGGTCCAAACTCAAAGGTTGCCCCCGAGCCTGGATTGCTGCTACCAATGGAGGCAGGAGACCATGATGTGACAATTTGAAACAAGTTGCTTGATATATTTCATAAATTTTCGTAAGTTGCTTCATTGCACAAACTACTTCGAAGATGCATAGCACAAAACCATACAAAACCATAGTGGGACGATCTTGGCACGTGTCCCTTGTAATTCGCTTGTGAGGCGGTGGCCCGGCGAGTGGGATCTTCTCCTGTTGCTGCCGATGTGTGCGGATCGCCCGTCATTGGCACTTTGAGTGTCCAGCCTGAGGAGGGAGGCAGCGTAGGTGTGCAAAGGCCTACGGGCCTACGTGCCGTTTGTCGTAGGAAACGTGGCAAAGATTAGACAGTATAGACAGTATCTGACATCTAATCTTTGCATTTATATAATCGTTCTATTTCTAGCTTTCGCATGCTTTCGTCTCATCGGGTTGATGCATCCTCAATCGTGGATCCAAGTTTGATTCTGGGATGGTTGACCATCTAAGGCAAAAAGGGCAATGCTCCTGTCCAAGGCTCAGTGTACCCATTCAGGTTTTTAGACTTTTAGACTCGTCCAAAAATGCCATCAGCTCAGCTCCTGCTGACCACCTGATACGCCTTGGAACTTCCAGAATGCTGGCTCCGTGAACAGATGACAGAACATGAAAGAAATGGGTGTCATCTGGTAGCCTTTAAATTAACACCGAGGAGGTCGCAGTCGGTACTCCCGTGGGTACAACTCCGGCCTCAAGAGCAGCAGCATTGAGCACGTGCCATGGCAATGAATTCGATTCGATCTGAAAACAAGAAAACCAATAATAAAATATAATAAATATATACTGTAATATATATATATATATATTTAAAAAAACATTATATACCGCAAAAAACTGTACCGACATTGTTTCAACTGCATATTCATTGTATGATGATGTATGATCTACATTATGTGGAACAAGAAAAATAGTGGCAAACCCACGAAGAAATACCGACGAGAGGCTCCCTACGAAGCTGAATCCAAGGCTGACAGAGGCCATGGCCAAAGCAACCTCTGCTGATGTTTCTTTGGATGAAGCTGGGCTGAAAGCCTGAGACGGGGTGATAGCTTGATAACATTTTAATGATTTTAATGCATAGTGCAGCGATGCGGCCATGCAATAGGTATCATACAATGGCTTGGCATTGTAAACTCCGAGCAAATGCACTGGCAAGTCATGACTCCATCACAGTGTGCTGCTACCCTTCGTAGCCTGGAGCTGGAAGTCTTGAGCTCAGGAGAGGGAAATAGCTCTCCATCAGGCCTGCCCTATTCCTTTGTCTTCCGATGGCCAAGTTGGACCAAGTTGGCAGCAGTAGCATCTGATAGCATCCGACAGCATCTGTTTGAGTGCTCTTTTCCTTCGGATGCACCGTTCTATTCAGATTGTTCAGGCTGGCAGAGTCCTTTGCAGCAAAGCTGCTCTCAACTTGCCATTGGCTCTACGACAGGAGGCAGAGACTTGGCACAGTCGTCAAGAGGAGAGGCTGGGACATGCATGTGCCGACATGCGCCATCATTATGCCATATTTGGCTATATAGATGAGATTTTTAATGTAGTAATATGTAGCAATACAAGGTAATGTATACAATATAGTGATGATAGTAATGTAAAAGGTCTGCGTGCGAATGCCATCGGGCCCCTCATGGCCCAGAGAACATCAGAGAACTATTAACTATTATCTTGACAAAGCCCCGCAGATGACAGGCTAAACCTTGCCAAGAGTATGGAGGCTGTGGTGGAGCGTGCTGCAAATCTGGAAGAAGCTGCAGAATGCGAGGCTGCTTTGCTTTTCCCCTCTTTGCTGCAATTCACCAAAAAAAAGAAACAATAAAAGACGCAGGCTCGTATAGCAGCCTTGGTTGGCTTGGTATCATTTGGTTCTGGAGGCGACTGCAGCAGACCCGCTTGGGGCACTCCTCTCCCGTGCGATGGTGGCCGACAAAGTGGAACTCGAGGCGAGGCTGCAGAATCACTTTGCATCTCCGAGCCATTCCATGGATAATCTGCATTCAGTCTGCATTCCTACAGATTCCTACAGATTCCTACAGGCATTGTTGGGAGAATCAGCTCGCCGTGCGAGTGCCTTTGAGGATGAGTTGGACAATCAGAGGCTGCCGTGACAAAATGTTGCGAATGTATAATGCGTGGTTTGTTTGTGGTAATCTTATGCTATTCCATTGCTATATCAACTGGGTCTCAGATGACCTTAAGTTGGATGGTTTTGATTGTTCTAAGTTCTAAGTGATGGGGCATGCGACTATGCTGAACTTTGGCTTCATTTGCTTAGAACATCAACCACTTTCCCTCGCAGGGGTCGTGACAGAATCATCTTGTCTTGGGCATGCTGTGGCCTTGAGACCGTTCTTCGATGTTCTTCGGGTGTGCCAGGATCAGGCTTCACAGGGAGCCACGCCCTGCCAACCAGTCGCTGGGCCTCACTTAGCGTTTGGGGTGAGCCACCGTGGACAGTTACAGATCAATGCAATCCATTCTGGCTGATCATGTTCTCACATGTTCTCACCGATCCAGTCGAAGAAAGTTTCCAGGGATCAACATGTATATACATGTATCATCATGTATCAAGCATCTTGCCTTGCGAGTTTGTTGTGGTCGCTGAATGTCGCTGAGGTCGTTGTTGACTGCTGCTGACCTGATGAAACAGACCAGCGACCTGACGGAAATGCAGACGAAGGCATGAAAAATGCAGAGCATGCCCACAACACCATCGACATTTTCCAAGCCATTGTCCCCTTGCAAATGAGCAAGTGTACAAGACTTGAAGGAAGAAGCAAAATGAATGGACAAGTCAAATGATGTCAAATGTCTATGTTATTTATGTTTACCAATCATTTGAATCAGCATCATTTTGCATCCTTCCAGCCTTCCAGCCTTCCAGCCAAAGCTTGGGAAGACATCTGCCTTGTTGTCTTGCCAGGCAGCCAGGGAGCTGACCGAATTGCAGGCATTGCAGGATCCTGGCGCTGGTGAAGAGTGGAAAACAGCAGCTCGGACAATTCAGCTGATTCAGCAAAACAGAATCTTCTGAAAATATAATGAACATATATTATGAAATAGTTTGAAATCCTGATAGTCTTCAACTTGGAGATGAGTCTCTACTGGTTTGTTCTTGGCGTTCCTTTATATACGCGAATTACACGTGAAAGACTCATCCAATCACTGGAGGAGAGCCACTCCCTTTTCACATACCCTAGCTTCGAGGCTTGTGACTCGCTTGAAACCAAGTGGAAGCAGTTTGTGGCAGATTCCGGTGCAGCAGTGCAGGACAGACAATCTTGGTAAAGAGCAACAGTTGAGTAGAGATGAGTACATGATCAAATTGACGTATTGCCTTGGGTCCATGCAGGAGGCACAGGCAGCCCTGGCTGCAAATAGAACTGCCAAGGTGGGCCGGTTCGGAAGTGCTATTGAGTGAATTGAGCAACGTTCGTTCTTTCAGCCAAACAAGTAAGTACTGCTGAGTGAACATATTTGAACATATTTGAACATATGGTGAATGTCATGTGAATGTCATGTGATTGTCATGTGAATGTCATGTGAATGTCATGTCTCACATGTTTCAATTTCACTATTTTCATTCAATATCAACAATTTATCAACATCTTGGTGAGTTCCTCCGCCAGATCCTGAGCTCTGATGCTGAGCGTGAAGCTGCCTTGGCAGAGGCCGCCAGGAGACAAGCCACTTTTCAGGAGGAGCGCTAGCCCTGAGCTGTCCGTGTGTGAGGCAAAACGCGGACTGGACAGTGATCAAAGTGGATTCCTGTCATGGATATTAGACTTACATGGCGACGAGTTCAAGACTTGGATCACGAGGTGAATGGAATCAGGAATCTGAAACTTGGGGCTTCATCTGCCTTATATGTAATGTTTGTCAGCTACGTAGCTGACTTATAGCTGTAGAGCAGTTCCAGGAATTGCAGAAGCAGCGCCAAAAACTTCAAAAGCGAACCAAGGCACCTGTAGCAGCCAGCATTTTCCCGGCAAAGGCTTCGCACCAAGGTTTCGATGTACAACATGTGTGACTCTGTGACTAAGGCGAAGTCGGCTGCACCGACGCCCTTGGAACTCGGACGTCTCCTGGAGGACGAAGGTGTTCTGCAGGCGGGCCCTGAGGGGATGAGCCCATGGGAGGGACAGAAAGATCAGAAAGCCCTGGCTGAAAATGCTCAAAATGCTCAAACACTCACCGTTCTAACCGAACATACCTGACATACCGAACACAACTGCGGCAGACAGGCACTCGAACTAGACAGGGACACGGCCATGAAGGAGTGTCAACAGCGCGGCCCTCAGAATATGGAAGTCAAAAAGAGTGCCAAATTTCTCCTGAAAGAAATCCATGACACTCTGGACATCTTTGGTGTTTTAATGTGCTTTCGTTGTGCTCACCATTGCTCACCCAGGTTCATCGACACTGCTGAAGCTCGGCACTGCGATGCAGAAGCCAACCAATGGAAAGAACTCCTGCAGGCGACAAAGCATGGCACAATCCAGCGCATAAAGATCATGCAGTCTGGGATGTTTGGGCCTTTCTGAGAGTCGTGCTAGATAGATAGATAGATAGATAGATAGGTAGGTAGGTAGGTAGGTAGATAGATAGGTAGATAGGTAGGTAGATAGATAGATAGATAGGTAGATAGATAGGTAGGTAGGTAGATAGATAGATAGATAGACAGACAGATAAATAGATAGAGATAGATAGATAGATAGATATATAATTACACACATATATATATATTAACATATCTACAATCAACAATGTCAATAATAACGTATTATACAATACTGTAGTGTACAGCGAACAGTCTTTTCGCTCACTGATCAGAGCTGATTTACAGAGTCTTCGCTTTCATTGCTTTACTTCGCCGGGCCCGCTGATACGCTGATGGCAGGGCTGGCAAATTGTCAAGGAAGACATGGCTCAGGTGGCCAGCAGCAATCAGGCCACGCGGCCACTCTTGCCTTCGGCCGGTTGCCATTGAACCGACCCAGAAAAAGTTGTTCAAAAGTCCTCGGCGACACTTAAGACTTTAAGACCCACAACATCCCACAACTTGAATATCAACAAGGGATGATCCCCGGAATTTCCAGTGGTGATGGCGGTGCCTCGCAATTCTTTTGGGCCGGTTTTTGGAATGGTAAGTTCTCATCCAAAGCCTTGCCAGGAGTTGAGCCAGGCAATGCCAGAAGCAACCGTGTGGGCTTCTGCTGCCTCAAAAGCAAAGATTGGGAAAGTGACCGTGGCCAAGCTCAGGACTCTCTCACTGCCGGGCAGTAGGTCAATGTAGGTCACATGTTGGCACTAAGTGACGCTTAGATTCTCGCTTGGATTCTCGCTTAGATACGCTTAAAGCGTGGCTTAGGTGGATGACGATGAGCAACTTGCATTGCTAGCAGAGGCTGCAAGATGTCCAAAGCTCAGGGAAGTTTAGTCGGATCGCGCCCGTGTCAACTACCGGGTAACTACCGGCTCCGGCAGAGTCTCTCTTGGATCATCTCGGATCTCTTGGATTCTCTTGGCCTGTGAGTGCAGTGATGTGCAGTGCATGCCTGTACTTCAAGCATCTTCAAGCAGTGCTTCCCAGATTGTGATTGCCTGATGATTGCCCGACAATTCATGTAAACTGCCGACTTAGGCGCAGCAGCGTTTGATGAGGAGTTACAGAAGCAGCGGCAGCAACTCAAGTCGCACTTGAAGCGTGGCATCCAATGCCCAAACTTCCTACATCCTTAGGTCCCTAGATCACTTAGTATTTTAATGTATTTTCCCAGGTTGAATGTGTTACCAAGTTTTTGATGTTTTTGTGACATTCAATGGCCTGTCATGCTGCCCCTCCCAAAAAGATCAAAAAGGCCACTGTGAGTGCTGCTCATTGAGGCAAATGAAAAAGCGAAGAAAGGCGCTGCAAAAAGGGGGCTCTGAACAGGTGGGAGCGTGCGTGTATTTGTGGCTGTACCTCCCGTCTTGGAGTTGTTGTGTTTGTTGTGTTTGTCCTGTTGTTTTTTCACATCTCTTTAATGTGACCATTTTTTCTCCATATGAAAACAGTTTAACATAGTTTTATTAACAAGATTTGACAAGTTCGAGATTATCTTTCTCCTGCGCTGTTTCTATCTCCTCAAACCTCTGCTCTCAACCGGAGCGTTTGGCCGCGCTTAAGACGTGGGGCTAGATTCTGTGCTCCGCATCATATATAATATATATTATTATTATGTAATATTATGTATATATACACGTATTTCACACAAAATTCAAATTCATATATGTATAAATGTATATATATATATACAATATACCATATATATATACACACATATAATTAGTCATGATTTAGTCAATGATATATATATAATCACTCTTGGTGATTTATATTTGTAACTTTGTGGAATTTGTTTCTTGATTTTCTGCTTTTTCAGCGGGCACTCTGAAGGCAACGGATCCCTTGGATGTTTGCCGCACCATGGCGGACGAAGAAGCCTTGAAGCGCCTTTCCAGACAGCAGGCTCCAGTCAAGAGCTCCACAGCTTGAGTTCAATCCAGGTCCTGAACTGCTGAAGATGAGCAGAATGTTGCTGTGCAGTTGTTTCATGTTACTTTTGATGTTTGTGAAATATTGTTCACATATTATTTGTATTTGTTTGTGTGATTATCCATGTGTTTGCAAATGCTCTTGGACACCCAAGTACAAACCTACCTATTATACACACAAACAGGTAAATATGCCAATGAACGGCCCGCCGCAATAACCCCGAATCATTGTACCAAAACATGCCAACACCACCTAAAGCATTCTTAACCCATCTAAAACCTGTACACATTTTTGAAGAGATCAAGGGATAGTCTTCATGCTGCATCCAGGCTGAGGCTCATGCCAAATGCCAGGCGTGAAGTACAGACGCGCGTAGGACCTGGTAGGTTTACAGAGTGTTGAGAATATATGAGAATATCATCTCTGTCATTTTCTGCTGGGAATAAGCTGGAATAAACGACTCCATGTCTTTCAAGAGAGATGCGGCTTGTTTCAATGAGGGCTTCTCCGGATGTTGTGGAGGCTGATTTCATTGCATCTATGGTCAAGGGAATGAATCTTACGTGATGTGGTTATCCGACCAAAAAGATGTATGACAATCATGACAACATCAAGAAAAAGGTAGCAGCAATGTATTTTGGGAAATGTGATCGGAAAACGTCTTTGTGTCTGATGCACTCGGGCCCCTGGGCCCTTCATTTTGTTTATATCAGTTTTTATCGTTTTTACCACTCTTCAGTTCAGTTGAGGCAATGGCCACCTCGGGCGAGGGGATGTCAGAAGCTTGGGAGCAACTTGCCGCTACCTGGGTCCAGATGGAGAGTCTTGGCTTGAAGTCACCAGTCGTCAATATGTCGTCACAGCTATGGACGCTGGTTGTGGTTCAGATTGGCGTGTTCGGACATCCACAACTCGTGGCATAGTCCCAGGTTCTGGGGTAGGGGAGGGTAATTTGAAGGATATTTTCGGATTTTATTGTGATCAGGAAAGACATTAACAAGGCCGAGAAGGACCGGCTTCGAATGGTGCAGAAGCTTCACATTGAGACCATAAGCTGCCCACTGGGGATGGCTCCAGACCCCTGGGGACCTTTGTAATCCTTGTATGCCTTTGTAAATTTTGTAAAATTTTGTAACGTTTGTCTTGCAGAGATTCTTTGAGATGGACCTCCAGCATGTAATTCACATGCGCAGGAGGTGTCTGAAGCCTCGAAAGTGGTCACCAGTGATGCACACAGTCCGCCCCTTACCGCTTCTGATGCGGATCACTGCCGCAGTAGATGTAGCTGGACGTGTGGCACTATGTCACACTTCATCACACCAGGTCACTCACCACAACTTTTGAGATCTCTTGAGTATGCGAGCATATGAAGCTGCTCTCGGACTTCCTCTAGTCAAGAAGCGCGTGCCTTGCGGAGGTGAATTGGTTGCGGCTTTGGGTTTGGCGCAGGCAGCCTCCCAAGTTTAGAATATGCGAGTGCAGCGTGTGCTACTCTTGTGCTTTCCATTGTTTCCATGTGTTTCCATGCTCTTCTTTTTTTCATGTTTGTTCATGTTTGTTCACCATTCCTCGCCCTTCTTGGATAGGATGGAGAGGTGGCCAGGCCGGCTGATGTCAACTTGAATCAAAAGACCCTGACCCTGCCATGAAGATGTTTATTTGATTATGATTTTGACATATGTACTGTACTGGTGCATATGTATGATTATTTATGCACATCTGCATTTGAATGTGTATTCTGGATGAATGCATGCATTCAGAAAGGCGGTGCATGCAGACAACATGATCGACATGTGTGTGCTAGATTAAGTTGGATTCCAGTGATTTGGCAGAAGTTCAGTGAATACAGTGATTTCATTGCACGCAGACCGCAGACTGCAGATACAATACGGCACAATGGGCTTCTTCACAAAATCAACCCGCAACAAGTGGACTTCCAGATAGTTCCAGTGACCAGTGTGTTCCAGAATGCAACATGTTTTCCGCAGGGATGCAGAAGCACTGCAAGAGGCGGAGTTGGGTCAGTGTGTGAGGATCCTTCCTGGAGATTGATTCATGTCTGTGTTAATTTCATGTAATTTCTGATCGCAGCTATTGGTGACCCTGGTGGAGTCATGGTTTCATGATAGTGAAAGCAGTTCTGAGAAGCATGTCAGCATGTCACAATGTGAAGCTATCTATCTTGTCTGTTTGTCGTTTCAGCAGGTGGTTTTTAACCCTGCCTTCAACTTCGGAATTAATTCCTTGACCCTCTTGGCTCAAGCTTTTCAGGGGCCAATCAGTGTAGTGTACGGGTCCTTGAAGTAGGTGAGCGCTCTGCTCTCAGAGACGAAGTTGCACTTGAATTACTCTCAGACACACAAAACACATTAAGTTTCTAACATGGAGAATCAACTGTGCAGGCTGCACATTCAGTCTCAAATTGGCATTCCCTTTGCTCTCGAAAGGGCTGCTAAACGAGGCTGCAAAAGTGCTCATTGGTACCCGTGGCTGACTTTCGCCACCCGCGGTGCCACTTTACTTTACACTTTGGATTCCGCTGTCAAGCCATCTTGGCCCGGCAGGCCGGGAAGCGTTTCTCCCTGTAGGTACATATAGGTACGCGATGGTAAGTACGTACAAGGCAAAGATTTGCTCTGGATCCGGTCCTTATTTCTTTTGGACAGCCAGGCAGGTGTACATACAGCTGCTGAACTTGCCGGTGCCATTGGTTGCAAATTTGCTACACCATGGATGGCCGGATCCTGAGACTGCTTTCTTTACATGTCCACTTTCTTGAGATCGACAGAGACAAGAAACCACAAGGCAGATTTGGAATTTCTGCGTTCCCATTTTGTGCCCCGTTGCCAAACATGGCATCGAAATGCATCGAACATACAAGTGTGGGAATGTCCCAGTGGTCGACGAGCAAACTTCATTTCCATCCGACAGACATCATCAGGTATATTTCAGATTTTTCAGATTTTTTCAGTAATTAATAGTAATTATGTTTTTTCTCGCCCTTGGCGCTACTCTCAGCGATACTGGGCATGGGGCACCAGCAGCAAGCCTGTTCGCAAACTTGCACCCCCAAAACGCACAGGCATCAGCGCACACAGTTTTTTTTTTTTTAAACGTGTCATTCATTGATCCATTTGCACGCGGCAAAATGCGAATTCTAGCATGAATGAAATTCAATGCAGATCGTTTTGCAGCAGGTTCATTGAATAAACACATCAAGCGCTTGTCTGACTCCGCTGCTAAATCTTCCGAGAAACTGTTCAATTAGGTTTTCTCGCAGCACAGCTTCAGCACGTATCAATTTATATATATATATATATCAATTTGGCTCACAGAATGCCAATCTGGATCAAAAGGACCCGTGCAAAAGCATTTTATTGTAAGATTGTAAGCGTTTGGATTGGATTGAAATAACCAGCATCTCTCTCTCTCCCTCTCTCTCTCTCTCTGCATCTCTCTCCCTCTCCTCGCTTCAAGACCATGTCCAGTGAGACAATCAGGATCTGGGTTTAACATGGTTTAATCTAGTTGAGGAGATGGTTCTGAGAATCGATGAATACATCACTGTATGTGTGTGTGTGTGAGATATGTGACGTGATATCATGTCATGTAGCATATGTAAGCTTAGATATATTTAGCTATTGTAATTGTTCCTGCATGTGGTGTGGCCGCTAGTGCCAGCCCAACGTGCAAAGCTAGGGGTTTGTTGCTATTGTGGTCCAATTGTGGTCTGCTATGGTCTGCTACATTTGTTGAGGCTCAGATGGAGGATCCATTGCTGGGGATTCTGTGCCCTGGTCTCAATGAACATGCCGAGTCCAATGGAATGACAAGGGGAGCTGGGCATATGCCATGCTTCAGGTGCTTCAGGGACCTCCACAATTCTTCACATGTCTTGGAGACTATATAACATGGCAATGTACCGTAAAGATTGGCCGATATACTATCAAATCCATTCAACTTCTCTCTAGCTGCCGCTGCCACTATCAACAAAAGACGTTTCGTGGGCAGAAGTGGGAGAGTCAGAGAGCAGATGGCTGCTAGATCTTGAGGATTTCATGCACTGATTGGTCTTCACATGCAGATGATGTTTCAAACCTAGGTGTTTAGCATGGTCTAGCATGGTTTAGCACACTTGGCAGATCTTGGCAGATCTTGACAGCTCGAGCTGAGGAAGAGTTTGAATACGATGACCAGGATGTGGAGCTTCGGTCGGGTGAAGAAGACGAAGATCAGATGGTCATCGAGCCGCCAGAAGTGCGGAAAGCTCCTTATTCAATCATGAATCCAGGACAGAATCCGTGAACCGGTCGATCTTGCACAGCAATCTAGTATATAGTTTGATGATGTTTGATGCATCTTGATGTATCTTGATGTACCGTGTAGTTTAGGCTTGCCTGAGAAAACTTGTTCAAATGGCTTCACTCACTGAGTTCCTGGCAGTGCTGAATTCATGGTTGAGACTTGACAGAGCTTTGCAAGGAGAGCTACAAACGCGTCAGAGCAAATGCATCGCAGAGGCTAGTTTTCAGGATGAAATACGAACGTAAAACATGCCATTGCATGTTCTGCCTTCGATACTTTGCATTTGGAACTAACTACGTTAATATACATAATATACATAATATACATAATATACATAATATACATAATATACATAATATACATATACAATCTACAACCATGTGCATCCTTATATATACACACATAGGTAATATGCATATACACATACTACAACGTACACAATGTACTCCTACACAGAAATATGTGTAATTACCAATGTGGTTCGCATTTATTCAGTAAGACAATAATTTTCATGCTGAGACTATCTGAGACTGCTATCCCTGGGATTTCAGGATTTCACGCCGATTCACGCCTCCACAAAAGTTGACTATGCTGTGATGTGAGGCCTCGGATCTTCTCCAAGTGACACAAGAAGAGGGCTTTGTGCTGCTACGAGAGCATGGATGGGACTTGCTCCGATTACAGGAGTGCTTTGCACATCTTTGCACATCTTTGCACATTCCAGATATTTCCAGATGCATTATGATCATAATCAGATTATATCAGATTATATCAGATTATATCAGATTATATCATCATACTGTACATCCATATTCTGTGGCTTTCTGTGCTTGGGTGCTCTTGGAACCGTCGGGGCTGTCATCGACAGTTGGCGGAATAGCTGGCAGCCAGCTGTGCCGTGAAATTCACGGTGGCTCAGGAGGCCTGGTTTGACAATGACCAGAAGGTGCGGCATCGATGTGGTCTCAGCACTGCGAAGTGCGTGTCACCAGCTCCATCTTCCAATCTGGCAGGCTGGATATTGAACTGAGCAGCACCAGCCCTACATATGACATGTACAGATACAAATATTATACACTGTATAGTGTAGCACGGTAATTATATGTAATTATAGCAAATATTCATGAGCCCCAATCCAGAATTCATGAGTCATATGGAAAGTCTTGCCGTCTTGCCCGGTAATTAAAGTTGTCAGCAGATGATTCCCAATCTATTCTCGTCTCACTGATTCACGATGCTAACATTTACCAACTATGCTGCTGTCAAAACTATGTGAAGGAGTTGCAAGGCAATGGTAGAAGCATGTAGAAGCCAATCTATGCCGAATCCTTTGTTTGCATAGTCGGCACAGCTGGCACAGTCGAAGAATGGAAGTCAACAAGACATAGCAAGGTTGCCATGGTTGTCAGATGTCGTTAGTATTTGCATCTGTATCATCTGTATCATGTGTGCCAGATACTGATGATACTGCCAGGTCCCAAAGCATGCTCGATTTGCATGTCAGCTATTGATGATCTCGTGGCCTTGGATTGCGGCCACGGCTTTTGTCCCTCAGCTATGTGACGAATTTTCGAAGTTCCTCCAAGAAAAGCTGGGACAGTTTCTAAATGTTTCTAAAGGATAGGCTTTACAAGACTCTGCCCAAACTTGGAAAATCAGGAGTGCATACAGCATGCTACAAGTAGAGTGCAACTCAACATCATGGAAAGCACCTATAATTCTAGGATGCTACTGCGCAGATATGGTATTCTCCTATGCCGCTGGGTTGCCGATAGCTAAGTCGGTATGAAAGTTAAGGTGCCGAGTGCTGGAGGGGCTACTTGCACACGCAAGTGGACGATGGCAAATCTGCAGTACAGACTCGTTTCTTGCCTTGACAACTTTGATCCAGCATGATCCAGCTATTCCGTGCATGTGGTCTAACATATTTGGCTTAATTATCGTGTATGCAAGTGAACAGAGATGCCTGCAATTGAACGCAACTAAGCAGCTTCCTTTGTGACTCTTCAGGCTGTCCTCAGCACAAGTGCTCCATTGTAGTACCAACTGCCTTCTTCTTGAACTATTGCGATGAAGAGCGGCAGAAAAAATATCAGGACTGGGCTGTTATTCCAAATGCCAACATCAGGTCTCTGCTGCCTATCACATCCTGTCCCCACAGTTGCTGTGGCAACAAACGCCCCAGGACTGGTGCCTGCGAACGTATGTTGATGAGAACGCCTCGGTGAAATGGTGTCCAAATCCAGTTGGTTGCCAATATGCTTGCGAATATCAAGGGGTGGAGCTTTGGCGGTCAGATGCGGTCAGATTTTTGCTACAGTTCGCGTGCGTTTTCGGACATTCTATACCACTCTAAACTTATACCGACTTATACCACTCTAGACTCTATACTCCATTCCATACCCTGAGTAATTAAAGGACATTAGAACATATTAGAACCGCCGGCCCATTCCTGCCAAACTCAAGGAGAGCTTGGAAATCCATTGCGCTTGCACCTTTGTGTGGTGCTGGGCCTGTGGTGAAGAAGCTCACAAGCCAGCGAGTTGCAAAACGGTGAATCAGTGGAATGTGAAGAACAGCGCTGAGTCTGAGAACATCAGCTGGATCAGAGCGCACACCAAGAAGTGCCCGAAGTGTTCCAAGCTTAGATTTTTGACGATTTTTGTTACAGTAGCTGGACATTTGCTGGAAGATGTTATTCAGTGTGCTTGTGTATCCAGATGTATCCAGATGCAGTTGTTTTTCGTTTTTCCTGATAATTACAACTCAGCATAAGTCAGCATTGCATTTTGCAAAAGGCTCCTTTTGTTGGTCTGGAATGGCATGATGTTCTTTTCGCCAGAGTTTTTGCAGTCCAGGCCACAAGCCGATTGAGAAGAACCAGGGCTGCAACCATATGGTCTGCTCCAAGGTGCGAGCGAATACGTAAAGCCATGGACACTGAATATATGTGAACGTGGGTGCTATTTGATGTATACTCTGCATGGCTCATCACCGTCATCGCTGAGTCATCACTGATGTTGATTTTGTTGTTCCAATGGCTGAACTTTGGCAGACACATGCCCAGACCAGACCCCCTCTGATCCAAGTGAATCCCATGTCAAGGCAGGCGGTTGTGGTCACGAGTTCTGTTGGCTCTGTTTGGGTGAGTGGGCCTCGCATGGGACTTCTACTGGTGGGCTCCTTGGCAGCAGAAAGCTGCCGGCTTGATAGCGGCATATAGCGGTGACACAGACACACGCACATACAAGAACATGATAGAGCATGCACATAGCATGGCTTTACCCAGGCCCATCCTGCGCGTGTCACATCATTCGAAAATCCGGGAGCATGTAGAAGATTTGGACGCATGTTGTTACTGGATGTTACTGGTTAATATTGGTTATCTACTCAAGTGTGATCAAGTCTGAGAGCCAGGGCAAGACTTATATAAATACCACGTAATTTCATGTAATTTCTACACTTACTCTTTGTGGGCGATAGTGACATTGCTTGTCTTGGCATAGAGAACCAGATAGAGGCCCCCATCGCCCACATGCTAAATTTGTGAAAAAGCTGGAATTTGCGATCAGCGACGACAGCTGTCAATTCCTCCGCACCCAGGTATTACCAGTGCAATATCTACGATAAACAGTCAAAGGAGGGCAAGCACGCAGATGAAGAGAGAAGTAGAGCCAAAGCCAAGCACGCGCTTGACAAGTACATGTTCTACTTTGAGCGGTTCATGGACCATGATCGTGGCATGCGACTGACTGTCACTGAAGAGCAGGACTACCCGTGTTCATTCTTAAATCATTCTTGTCAGGCTCACAAACTGACTTTTGGGTTTTGCGACTGTCTGATACATTTTGGGTCCAGTGGGGGTCATCGTTTGTGGCAGGACATCGAAGGCAAGGTGCAGAGGCTTCACGACGAGCATGGATTTGCAATCATCGAATTGCAATTTCTTTACGACGCGCTGAGACAAGTTCGAGCGTGCCGAAGAGTTCTCAAGTGGACCTACGTCTACGGCTATTACCTCGATGACTGCAGTGCCGCTCATCTGATCAAATCTTGCAAGCCTCAACCAAATTGATGTACAAAAAAATCAAAAAATAGATAAGAATTATATATATATGTATTTAATATTATATATATTGTCATATTGTGAGTGTTCTCATCTTGCAAGAATTCTGTCATGGAGGGCTCTGACTGTTTGCGCATTCTACATCTGATGTCATTCCTGCACGGATAGTAAGCTCCGCACATTTTGAGGAGAAGAACTTGTTTGAATATCTGCAGAAGAATCTTGAAGAAAAGACGGATTGCCTTCACGAGATGTTAGAGAAGGACTTGGACAAGAGCTTCTTCGATCAGGAAAATCAGCTGACGAATGGTTCCGAAGAAGCACATCAAAAGTTCATGACCTTCCGGAGCCATGCCACCAATTTCACCAACGTGACCCAAAAGTTTCTGACTCAGATCCTCACCGATTTAGGATCTGAGACTGGTTTGGGTCAAAAGGTTTCTCAGAGCTCTGCATGAACTAGGGCCGTTGCACCTTTGCGCTGCCCAGTCATGCAATGATCGGTCATGGACCCAGCAAGTCTCTGATGGCTAGATAGAAGAAGTGTTTCATGCCAAAATGAAACCGGCTTTGAGGGAAAGATATAATATATGAAAAGATTGTTTGCGTGAAAGCTAGGGGGTGCTAGGGTTCCCTTATGGTCCCTTCAACTTATTTCAACCTGCAGGCCAAAGATTGCCAAAGTGAATTATAGTGACACAGTGAATCAATTGCCATCAGGGAGCTAGCGGCCGCCACAAAGGTCACCACGGCCCTGCTGAAACTACGGCAATGTGACACCAAGCAAAGCACCATTAGATACCATTGGCAATCCATTAGCAATCCATTAGCACTCCATTGGGACTCCATTAGCAGCATGTACCTCGAGATCGTTCAGGATCTTCAACATTTGCAATCAATTTCATGTGTTGCCTGAAGTTGCTGTGGTACTTCATGGGATGCATTCTTGACTTTTGACATCTTTTGGTCTTAAGTAGTCTCAGCGGGACTATCGCTCTTGAGCGGAGTATGCAGACGTCGGGAAGACACCGCCCTCGTGCCTGCTTGTGGATAGATTGGTGGTCAAAGCGTCACAAGGAAAAGGTTGGTGTGCATTTCCAAGCGGAGGTTTTGCCCGTGAAATTTAACATTGTGCAGGTCATGTGGACTATGTATGATTATTAATTTATAATATGATTTAATATGATATTATATATAATTTTATATATTATATATATATAAGATGTGTGTTAATAATAGGGGTTTTGAACGCAATTCCTTCGGCTTTGGCATTGTGTTTCGCATTAGAACAACAGCATAGCGCAGGCAGCCCGGCGAATTGCAGTCTTCGACGAGGACTCTTGCTTTGAATTGGGCGCCCAATTGAACATTGATTTAGTGGGAACTTTGTATCACAAATCCACACGAAAAACCCACTGAAAAGATCTGAAAACGGCTTCGCAGGAGCTGGCAAAGCAGCGGGCAGACAGGACCTCAGAGTGATGAGGTGCATGAGGTGCTATTGTGGTGCCATTGTGGTGCCTTGATGGGCCTTGACTGACGCAGATGGTAACATAGACCCTTGCCATCTGTCACCATCCACAAGCCACGTCACTTTGAGGCGATGCGCCGCCGCCGATCTGAAAACCCGCAAGGAGCAAACGCGTTGGGCCGGGTTCTCAAAGAATGCTCAGGTCAAGACGCAGTGACGAAGCCTTTCGATTCTTCTCGCTCACGAAATGGCACCCTGTGAGGGGAAAAAAACATTAATTTCAGAAATGTTCACCAAGGTGCTGCACTCTTGGAGGGTGAGGCATTGAAAGCTTTGGCAGCTGAGTGCGCGGAGGCTGTAGCAGTCTGCGAGGCTGGGTGAGGCCTTATAGGTTGAGTTTGAAGATGGAGGCCGTTTTGCGGTGTGAATACCACATGTATCACATGTTGTCCAAAATGAGGCTGCAGCTGCAGAAGCCTCAAAGGAAGGTGGCCAAGCCGAGCCCTGGCAGGACGTGTGGAAAGACGGACACAGTACATAAAAATCATAAAATGTATTAAAATGTAAATTTATGCAACATATTACATACAGTACATACATGTGTGTGTGTGGGAAACCCTGAATCAAAGAGTATAAGCAGGGGGCCATCCCTCTCATCATTGGTGGACGGCCAACGAAGAGGCCAATGATGAGAGCTGCAAACGTACCTGCGAACTTCAACCTTCGGACATGGCCAGGTGGCTAAGCCATAAACCACCCATGCCGACATGACATGATAACATGATAACATAATAACATGATAACATAACATGACATTACATGATTTCACCTCATCTCATTTCATCCTCTCGAATCCTCTCCCTTCGGGGTGTATCCAAGTGTGTCTTTTCATGCGCCCGGATCTCTGATAAAATGCCGGGGAAGCTTGGTGGCGCGTCCACCGGGGATACCAGCTTACTTCAAAATTTACCAGACATCATGTTGCCAGAGGCAAAATTCGCACAAGCATCCAGAATTCTCCAGCAGAAGCGGAATTCTCAGAATTCACCAGATTGCATGTTCAGAAGTAGCCAGAATTACAGATTTTTAATCTCAGAACCCCCCGTGTCATCCCGTGATTCATACTAGCATGCACATCAGTTGCGATCAATAGATTCTAGAGTTCTAGATAGTTCTAGCATGAACATCAATTAATTCACTCTAGAGTTCTAGCATGAACATCAGTTGTGATTGAACGCCGCTTTTTCAGATTCGACCCGGTAGCCGACGATAATACCAGCTCATTTGGTTGCACATTTGGCAAACATGTTGTGACACAGCAACCACGGGTGTTGATCATATTGCCATTTAGAGTAATCTCATGGTTTAGATGTTTCACTTTGGAGCAACGACCACATTTGTTGATTGACATGTTGATTTGCTTGTACGTCCTTGGCCACGACCACCCGCGATGCCAGCAGCTGATTTGCTTGCCCCAGTTGATGAGTCCGCTACCACATAGCACACAAGCAGCAATACCAAAAGGTACCACCATTCTCCCCAACTCAACACCAACACCAACCAACTGGACACACCCCCCCACAACCAATGCAACTACCGTGTGCCACTTCCGCATTTGCACGACAATTCTCTCCAACTCAACACCAACACCAACACCAACTAATGGGACTCAGAGTCCCACAACCGATGCAACCACCGTTTGCCAATTCTGCGTTTGCACAACTTCCGTCCTTTCACACTTTCAACACGCCACATTACAACACAGCCATGCCAGGTTTCAGCCACCTCCACACTACAACACAGCCATACCAAACTTTCAGGCATCACCACCACAGTGTGGGTCATTCTTTGCATACTGGCCCACATCACACCCAACCAGCACAACACCGGCACAACCATTACCAACTACGCCGGCTTCACAACAATTTCCACCCACCACTGTTCCAACTCCACCACAAAGCCATGCAAGCACAGCCGTACACGCTCTCGCAAGACACGGGCAGACATGGGCGTCAAAGCACGCAGCGCTGGCCACACCACCAGTCCACCGCACAACATCACTCCCAGCAGCACAGGCGACACCATTCCAGCAAGCACAATCACCGACCTACAGGACAACATCCACAACCTACCGGGCACGAACACCATCCGTCCTTTCACCACAACAGCACCAAACACAATCGCAGCCAAGACAGTTGATGCTTGGATTTTTTTTTTTAAAGTTCCCAAGCAACACCAAGCAACACCAAGCAACACTTCACGATGTCTTAAGCACACTCCATCAGCTTGTGAAAAAGTCCCAAAAGCAGAGCAAAGCACTTTTGCAGATAAAGCAGCATCACTTGGTTTGCCGGTGACGATGGCGGCAAAGGCGCGCAATGAAGAGCTCTACAAGCTGCTGCTGTTTGCTGTTACTCAGCTAGAGTGACTAGCCCGTGACGATCCGAATCATGTACAGTTTTCTGCGGCATGCGTAACTTTTTTAGGATGCCTACAACATTTTCCACCTGAAGATGTTTATGATACTCTTTCTTGTCGAACATTCCTACGGGTTGCAAGGGTTTTTGTTTTCTTCACTGGTAGAAAATGGAATCGACGATTCGACCGAACATGTTTACAGTCTGTTCGCGCATTTGTATACAGTTGCAACCAATTTTGTGTATATATCCTTCTTCATGCATTTGTTACACCAGGACTCAACATTCACCTTTCGAGCACAGAACGCTACACTGGCAGCACCATACATACATTGCACGGCCGTCAGAACACCAGACAACGCAAGTTGAGACAAGTCCAGCAAACACAGCCTGTGTCCTGAGAATTGGCACTACGTTGGTTTTGCAGCCAGATGAATTATCACCAGTTTGTGGCATCGCCGTTGATTTGCACAAATAGAACACTACAGCCACGAACATTAGAAAGCTACCTCATCCAACAATGAAGCACAGATCCACTAGCAAACTTTCAGACAACGCAGATCTACCAAGCAACACCACACACGTTACACATCACAGCACAGATCCACCACACCACGTCACAGGCGTCACACATCGCAGCACCGTTCATGTCGCCGGCAAAATCACTCACCCACTGTCAGATCTAGATCCAACCACCGACCAGGCACAAGACACAGAACAACATCTCTTCGCCAACACATTCCAACACTTCACTGCCACAACCACCACCACGACCATGACCACTTCCACCACCACCATTACCACCACAGCATCACAGGCCCCGAGATCGGCGGTGGTGCATCCACTCAACACTAGCAAACATCACCAGCATTTGGGTTCGTGAGCCTGATCCAAATTTCATTACACCAACACAGCACCTACATGGACATGAGCATGATGACGTTGAGCTACCGTCACTGTCGATGGATGTGCAAACAAGAGGCTGCTGAGTGGACAGTCTCACCTTCGGATCATACTACACTGCAGGTATACCATTCTATCATATACTATGATGTTATATATCGATCTTGTGCTTTCACAACCTTGATGGCCTCTTCCATGTGCTTGATTCTGATTCGTATCGCAGGTTTGACTTCGAGCTCGAAAAACCCTAGTAGTTAGTCTCAACCCCGTGTACAGACAGCAGCCTTGTCACTATACAATTTGATTTCCCGTGGATTTTTACTTTCATTGTTGGTTGATTTTATGCTTGATTCTTCATTGATTTGATCACAAGCAATTTCACAGTTTGATGTTTAGACTGATTGGATCACAAAACAATTTCAGTGCTCATCAGTGGCGCCCATAGATCTTGCGGAGCGGATCAGCTTTTCCACCGTTGACTTGAGTTGAATCATGACCTCGTGGCGCGGTGGCAGCGGTCTTGACGACTCCCAGCATGGGAGACAGGACAACAACAGCACACCACCACCAGCACAACATACACGCACACCCGCCCCACGCACACTAATTAAGCCCACAAGGCACAAAGCGGCACGACCGCGACTTACCAAGCACGTCCCAGCCTGACAGTCAGCAATGAGACCAGCACAAGCAGTTCAAGCACAATCAGAACCATTACCAGCACAACGGCGAGTTCTACCTCAAGTACATCAGCCGACAGCACCAGCAAAGGTACCTCCAGCATACCCTTGACCAGCGCCAGCACTTCCAGCGCTTCCGCAACCAGCGTCTTCACAAGCAAAACAAGTACATCAATAAGCACATCAACAAGCATTTCTAGCACAAGCACTTGAAGCCTGACCAGAACAACTACCAGCACAACGGCATGCTCTACCTGAAGCATGTCAGCCAACAGCACTAGCACAAGTCCTTCCAGCACATCTCTGACCAGCGCCAGCTTCTCCAGCAAGTCTGCAAGAAGCACCTCAAGAAGCAGCACTTCAATGTCCAGCACTTCAACATGCAACACAAGCACGTCAATCACATCAACACGCATTTCCCGCACAAGCACTTCCAGCACTTCCGCCACTAGTACCTTCAATAAGCAAATCAACAAGGAGTGGGATGCTGCAGTGCGGATGGTGGAAGTACGTTCTCGTGCGTGTAGCCTGGCTGGCATATTCTTGACCGATCGAGATTCTAGTTTGGTTGTACTTGATACCGATACCTTGCATTGCTGTCACTTTGTTGCTTGAAACCATTTGAAATCTGACCAGCACTATCTTGTTTTGCATTCATCCCGGTGTTTCGAACTATATGACAGGAGGCCAACAGCACTGAGGAGTGGTTTTGCCATAACTAGTTTAGTTGGAAACAACTAAATTAAATTATATTAAGGACACTCTTTCTCGTATGGAAAATCGTGCCCTAGCGGCTTGCTGTGCGTGGGAAACCCTGAATCAAAGGGTATAAGCAGGGGGCCATCCCTCTCATCATTGGTGGACGGCCAACGAAGAGGCCAATGATGAGAGCTGCAAACGTACCTGCGAACTTCAACCTTCGGACATGGCCAGGTGGCTAAACCATAAACCACCCATGCCGACATGACATGATAACATGATAACATAATAACATGACATTACATGATTTCACCTCATCTCATTTCATCCTCTCCCTTCGGGGTGTATCCAAGTAAGTGTGTGTGTGTGTGTTTGTGTGTATTAGTATAGCAGTAGCAACTCGGTATACGTATATTACTGTATGTGGTAATAATTATTATTGATTTATTTGGCTTGAAATGGCTAGAATCTAGAACTTAGCTGCATGCGCCAGTCCCACTGGCGAGTCCTTCTTGTTTTCTCCATTTGGTATCCCGATATTTTGAGCTATTAATGCTGTTTGCACATGTTCTGGTGACAGCCTTTCTGTGCCCTGAAGCAGCAGTCCGTCGTTTGTCCTCAATTTTGCTACTTTCCGCATTTTTCAGCAGCCTGCAACCTGCTACTGCTACAGTCCTTTATATCTGGTTTGCTGAGAGTCCGACTCTTGAACACTGAAATATTGAGTGATTCGAGATATGCTGAAATCCGTCGCGTTTACACTTTCGCCTTTGTGTACTTTCCTGTTTTGAATTTCAATCTGGCATGATCGGGAACATGGGTAGACCTGAGCAGCCTTGACGGACAGGACATTCTCAAGGTTTGGGCAAATCTTCGGGCAGACTTGGCAGAGGACAGGATCATTCTGAACTACCAATGTCAGTCCAATTCGAATCAAATTATTTTCAAAATATTTCTGTATATTTCTGTATACTATGGAAGAGGGCTACTGAGGCTACTGGTACCAGCAAACCTGCCTTTGACCAAATAATTAGATATTAATTAGATATAATTACTGTATGATTCCAAGTGGAGGTGTTGGCATGCCTTGTAGGCAACCGAAGAGGCAGAAGCTGAAGCAAAGACATGCCGCGCTCAGGAGGCCTTTCCACAATTCCAAATGATGAAATGATATGAAATGTATTGAAATGCGTGTTTTGCTGTTTCGGAATTCGGCACATTCGACAGCCTTGACAGCTTGACATTTTGACAGCCGAACTTTCCGTTTGCTGGTATTCTGGGCTCACTCTGTTTGGGGAAACAGTATGTAAATGTAATTAATTACATTTTGTTGTCTCTCCCATTCAGTTCTAAAATGGTCGTCAACTTACACTGAGTTCACTGAAGAAGCTTAAAAACTGCAGCTTCAATTGATCCAGTTGATCCAGTTGATCCTGCAGGCATCTGAAGCTCTTGCCGCCCATGGCGTGGCGGCAGCAGCAAGACGTGCTGTGGCTTTTGAACATGAGCTGGGTCAGTTGACGCGCGAAGGTGGGCAGCCAAGAGAGACAGACATTTGGTCATTGTTTCCCCAACTGCCAGTTCATGCTCCATCAATCCATCAGTACTCAAATGAACTTTGTTTAATGTTGCTTCTTTGCGGGGACATGTGAGTCTCTACATCTCATGGGCATATTGAAGCGGGACAAGAGAAAGACTGAGGAAAGACTGAGGTATGAAGGGTTTCATAAGCCTTCCAAGGCTCAAAAGGCATCATAATACCTGACGCTCAGTGAATGCCATGCATGGAGCCTCAGGTGCACATGAATCGGGCGCCGTGGAAGCTGACGTCCGCCGTGCTCACAAGACCGCCTTGGTGGGAGCCTTGCACCGAAGTCCCCGGGCATCTCCAAGAGATGCTCCAAGAGATGCTCCAAGAGATGCTCTGTTTAGACTTTGTGTTAAGACTTCTTCAGTGACTTACAGTAACTAAGTGACTTCTTCAAGTTGATCTTAAGTTCAGGCCAGTGCATCACTACACTTGTGTTCCCACTGATGGTTTTGATTCTCAGTAGGTGCAGAAGTTGAAGACTGAACATGCGGAAGGCAGAAAGCTCAGCAAAAGTCAAAGTTGTTCAAAGGATTTTAGTTTTATTATATATATATATATAAAGGCTTATTATCGATACATATCGATACGATATTTATCGATCCTTTCTAGTTGTGTAAGACGTGCCCAACGAGCCCAGTGCAGGTCTTGCCTTTTGTGAAGCCAAAGTGGCAGCAACACGCTGGAGCTCAGAACATCAGATATGCTGGACAGGGGGTATCAGAGCAATTTAAGAGTTAAGATGAATTCATCAATTGGAGTGAGTGGCCAATTTCTTCATTCAAAATGGATTGAATTCATCAAACTAAAATGCTGTAGGCTCATTTGGAGGCTGGAAATTTACTGGTATTTGTACTGTAGAATGAGTGGAGGGGGGGCCCAGCGGAGCATTCAAAAGAGGGCCTGGGTATGCCTGGGTCCTGAAAAGGGTAAGGAAGAACAATGTTCATGGTATTTGAGGTGCCGAAGAAGAAACACCACACCTGGTCGAGTGCCGCCTCTTGGCTGTGAAAAGGTTCATTCATGTGCATACACACAACCATGGTCTATTGCCAGCCCTTTGCAAGTGTGTTGACAGTGGCTCTACCCAGCAGTTTCTTAGTGTGTTTGAAGCTCTTTCCAGGCAATGCTTGGCAAGAGCTTGTTGAACTGTGGCAAGCAGCTGAGATCTTGTGAGAAGTGTTCGCAGTGTATGAGTTCCCGCAAGAGTTCTGCCATGTTCTGCAGTGTGAACATGATGTTACACTGTTACAATATCTTACAGTCATGGGCTGCTTTGACAAAGGCAAGGTTTAGGCAAAGACCTGGAGACTGCAGCACAGGAGCGAGTTGAGTCAGTGTAATTGGATGCAATTGGAAACTATTCGAAACATATAGCTTTACAAGTGATCAAGTGGAAGACTGGAGCTTCTTTGGTACACACCCAGGAGCATCTGATTTGATAGCATCAAGAGCGATTCACACAGAACGCATTTTTTGGTTTGTGGTTTTCACGGTCTCCACCCCGCTTCTGGGAAGATACTGTCGGCTGAACTCAACAAACATTCCTTTTTCCATGGATAGAACATGATAGAACCTTCGATGACATACATGAACGCTTTTCTTCTAGCCTTGATACTATAGAGATTCTGGTTTCAAAGCCTGACCACTTTGCAACCATCCCATGTAATTATTAGCGCGGTGCGCATTTGTTGTGCTGTCCGGAATTTTCAGTCCCGCCTTTGTTGTTTTGCAGGAGCTGGCAACCTCAACGGAACCAGCTGGTGCCCTGCGGAAGATCTTAGATGCAAGCGTCAGCGATGCCGAGCGGCAGTCCAAGCCTGAAATCAGAGTTCAATCTCATTGGGAATTTCAGGACCCTAAAATAGAGGTACTGTACCATATAAAGCATTATAAAGCCATATTTTGGGTGCATATCCCCTTACATAGGCCTTGTATATGGTCATACTGTACCTCCAATTTAGGTAATTACATGTAATTAATTACCTGAAATGGCCATTGAAAGTCGATAGTGCAGATTTCACACTCTCCAGCCAGCAACTGCCAGCAACATTCGAGCAGTTTTCTGGCGTTTTCTGATGTTTCTTATATTCAAGTCTATAAGATCCATAAGCCCGAGGAAAGCTCTAGCAGAAGCTGCTAGACGTGCGGCCCAGTTTGATGAAGAGCTGCAACGCCAACGGCAAAGGCGGTGTGGAACGTGTGGAAGCGGAACTATGGACACTGTGAACTCTGTGCAATTCAGCTCGGAGCATTTCAGCACGTGGCCATGGTTGCTGCTTCGCAGCTCCCTGGTTGCTGGGTGTTGGTTGCTATGCAAGGCTTGTGCGACGCAAGAAGGCACTGCTGGGATAGCTAGTCAGCAGAGTTCAAAACCATCAGTAGTTGCATGTAATTACAAAGTCATTATGAGTGTGTATTATCATATATTATCTCAATTATGATCCTCCATGCCTGGTACCTTATGAAATGCCCGACCTTTGTCCTTATAAAATGCTGTAACAGGGGGGCATTTCATACCAAAAATATAGGTAAAGAGGTGCAACCAAACAGGCTCAGGCAGAAATAGCATTTTATAAAAAAACATCAGTTTGAGAGAACTTCCAGACGATGGGTTCATTGGCTGGTAGATGCTGTCAGCTGGAAAAGGCATTTCATAAATGTGATATTCCAGCATTAAAAGGATCTTGTAATGAAGATGGCCCGAGCGCGCAAGAGGAAAAGTGCCATTTGTTTGAGCTCTATGACGATGTGGAAAGAGCATTTTATAAACCCCTGGCAGTGGTTCACAAGTAGCTCTCTAAGATCTGGAAAGTGAATTTCATAAAGACAACCTTTGCTACCAACATTGTGACCCAACTGCCCTTTGACCTGGTCTGGATTTTTTGGGGTCATTTTATATACACATTGGCTTTTCATTTTATAATTGCCCACTACCTGGTAAATCATTTTATAAACCCACCAGTACCTGTATAATTACTTTTTAAAAAACAATGACCCTAACATACATTTTATAAACGACCATCTGTGTATAGAATGGCTGGCAAAGGTGGATATCGGCTAAGCATGGAGGATCAATTATGTAATATTATATATCTCATTGCAATATTCAATAGCGTGTGTCTTGTTCTTGGTGCAATCAGGTAAAAGACTGCGGCTTTCGGCCAGGTGGGAGAGAACATCAGCAGCCGAGTGTTGGCTTTGGGAGATGCCGTCGAGCTTCAGGCCGGGAAGTGTTTCGCGTGTGCCTTTCAGGTCACTAGCCGAGTCGCAGAATTCGACGATATTAGAAGATTTAGAACTGCACATTACTGCACCATACTGCAGCATGGGCGGTGCTCAGCAACATCGTTTAACTCATCCCTTGCAGGCTCTGGCGGCAGATCAAGAAGCAGCAAAGTCAGCTTGCACGGGCCACAGTCGCTATTTGTTTTTCACGCGGTATGTTTTTATTGTTGTTTTGCGGCCCGGCAGAAAGAATAAGGGAACCATGGGGAACCGTGAATAGAGCTGCAATCTCGTTTCTCCAGACGAAAACGGTTTCTCATTGTCCATTATTCTTAGGCCAAGAGGCCTTGACCAAAGCAGAAGCAAGCAACGATGTGGAGCAGGCATCGCAAAGACAACGGGCTGCTTGCTGCTCGTATGCCGTGGTATGGCTGCAGGATCTGCAGGATCTGCAGGATGCTTTCAAGTTTCGAGCAATGCCAGCTTCCTCTGCGCAATTCACCATGAGCGATATGTGTGGTTCAGAAATTGGCCGTCCTGCCTTACTCAATTGTTGAAATATGTTTGTGCCTGGTAGTGGCTAGTGTGTCAATCACCCTTGTAGGATCTTATAATTATAATTTGATAGGTAGTTTACTGTGTTGGAGTTTGCTTCTTGTGTATGGATCTCGCGCTCCAACAAATCGGGCGGGACGGGAATTCAAAAAGAACGGAATGCAAGCAGAACCTTGGCACAGCCATTTCCAATGCATTTTGTGGCCCTGAAAATGAAACACAATGACTGTGTGCATTGTGTCATGGACTGATTGTTGCATGCTGTTACGAACACAAGGGCTGCAAGAATAGGTCTTCTCGCTGACACAGAAACAGGCTTTACTAGTACCATGCTTTATCAGCATGAGGCATGCCTCCAACCAAGTTTCTTGTAGACTTTTGATGTCTCAACGAGGCACAGGGCTGGAAGCAGATCATGGATGTGTCGAATCCTTGGTTCTTGATCAACCCTCGTCACTGCAATCATCTGTAATTGTCGTTGCCAGCTGGCTTGAAATCTTGAATTGGCCGAATTGGCAGTTTTTTTTTTGTGTGTGATTTCAATGGAACCTGTGGACTGCATTCGCTCAATGCTGCCAAACAGGGCTGGCTCATCATTCAGTGTTGACAAAAACAACACAGACACCCTTTCAGCACAGCCAACAGATGCTGCTCCACGTGACCCAGGGGTTTGGCCAAGACTTCTTCCCAACTCTGAAGTTCATATCATTGTACCATATTGTACCATCATTACAATTGAATTTGAGACCCATGGCGTACAGCATGCGGCTCTTTTCCGCTTTATGGTTGGGAGGCAGGTCGGCTGCTCTGTAGATTTGCACTGTGCTTGTAGTGAGGCCGAGTGTGAAGTGTTCCTGTACAGGGTCCGAACTGATGCAAGCTAGAGTCTAGAGTAGATGAATAGAAGAGAATCAATTCCAGCTGCCCCTTGCAGCACTTTCTGCACTCGCAGGCCTTTCTCAGCTGGGGCACAGCTTTGTGTATGATGAAAAGGCCGCAGAGAAGTACATTTGGCTTCATCAGCTGACATTGATGCCAAAGGCGCCGGATGGTCATGGTGGAGAAGTGGACGTTGAGCTTTCAGAGTATTCAAACCATTTCTTCATTGCCTATCATTTTGATTCATTTTGATTCATTTTGATCATGTATTTGATGTATCGTAGATATTGTAGATTGTCCTCGTACATAAGCGTCCCAGGATGCGGTAAATGAGTAAATGAGCATCTATATTTGCATCGATGATGGAGAGAGAGGGAGAGACAGAAACAGAGAGAGAGAGAGAGAAAACACATACACACATATATGCATCATGGATATGTTTGCGTGTATAACAGAATCAGGACTCAGGACTGAAATTTCTTATGCCTGCAATATTGTAGGATATTATGGGGATTTGTGGGGACTCATGGGGATTTATCATAAATTTCTTTGCAGACGTCACTCATGACCCTGGAGGTCGAGCTCGTGGAGATGAGATGTGGTTTGGCATGTGAGATGCTGCCGGAAGTTTCCCAGGTTCTGGGGCTGCAGAGGATTCACGTTGATGGCAATTCCCCAATCAGATATCTTACGGAGTCTTAGATATTCATTATAGACTCATAGACATTCATTCGATATCTTGTATAAACATTCTGGAATTGTCGCTTTCTTTGAATTGAGCACTTAGATTCGAGAAGCATGTGGTTTCCACGTCGCCCACATCATGGAAGCAGTTGTGTTTTCACTTTGAAGTATTGTATTGCCTCTCAAGAAATAGGCCGCTATGCATTGGTAGGCCGAGAGCCGCAGACTATAGATATCTATAGAGTATTCTCTTTATTTCTCTTTATTGCCCTTCTTGTATTTCGGGTTTCCTCCATGCTTCCTTTTTCTTTGATCATTTTGATCCCGGCCATCGAACAATCCCCTGTTGCCAGCAACTCCTCGTTTCATTGAGTCTTTCCACTGCGTTCTTTTGGGTATTTTTTTCTCTTTGATATCCCGTTTCACCCCTGTTTGCGCAGTGTTGTAGGTTTCACGGGCATTTTCACAACGCGAGGAAGGTAAGCTTTGAATCCTTTGGATACCCTTTGGATACTTGAGATATTTAGTTTACCCAATTGACCACAGTTGACCCAGGTTAGCCATGGTTAGCCTGGTCTGGCTGAACATGGCTGAAGTAAGGTTCAGATCACCAGGGATGCCTACCCTCTTGACACACGGGGCTTGGTGGTGCGATATGGTACTGATGACTGTGCGATTGTCTTTCGTGGCTCCAAGAGCCTGGTGAACTACCTCCTGGGAGACGCCGAGCTTTTTTAATTATATACATGTATAAATATAAAATAATATAAATATGTAAAATATAATATAATATAGTATAGTATGGTATAGTATAGTATAATATTTTATTGTATAATATATATAATATATATACACTGTATTATATATATATATATATACTGTATTATATATATATATATATGTAATTTTATTTCCCAATAGTGTCTCAGTTTTCAATGATTGAACTCTTCGGATTTCCATGGATTTGGGATTTCGGATGATTTCGGGTGTTTGGGCTGGGTATCGAATATGATAGTTTGAGTTGTTCCAGGCTATGGTGATAGTGCGTTTCCTGTTCGAATTTATGATTATTTTGTCGAGCCGCTGCATCTGTGTGCCCATCCATCGTCTTGAGCCATGCCGAGGATTTTGACATCCGCCATGAGAGCCCCTTCAGCTGCTCGTCCAAATTGGAGAGACGGAGAGAGAACAGTTGCAATGCTCTGGAAGCATCTGGAAGCCTGAAATCCTGCAAGCAAGACATGAAGATTATGAAAGATTATGAAGGGGTATGAAGGGGTTGAGAATCACATGGTTCTGGACAACCAAGCAGGGAATTGTCGAATATTGTCAGTGAGTATGTCAGTGTTGCTTGAGACTCTTCTGAATTGGGCCAAGGTTCTTGCCCAGAGTGCAGAATTCACAGAGGATTTTACAAGTCTTGGCAGAGCCTGAAGTCTCAAACCATTGAAGCTCTGAAAGAGCTCAAATGTACCATGGAAGCAGGAACAAAGCAGAACCAATACAGGACCACATTGCGAAACACATTTTGTGGAACATTGTCGGACCCTTTTGTGAAGATTTGTGAAGCGTGATAACCTCGTCAATAGTGCCATGATAGTGCATATAGTGCCATTCACAGACTTGGCGGCACACATGGAATGATCATCCACTAGGAAGGAATGGTTACCACAAAGGACTCCAGGACTCTTTGCCTCTCGGTTGTGTCCTTCCAGTAGCCTTAAGATGTCAATATCGTGAATGTTGAGCCTTCAAATGTGATACGTACACATGTTTAATCTATATTTGATTGCATATATGCATATACACACATGTACAGCACAAACACATATAATATCATATAATATGATGTATATATGGTGTATAGAGGTCCTCGGATTCTTGGATGCGAGCAACTGAAACCTGTTGCTGAAGGTGAGTCGAGCCCATTGCGAATTACAGGCCACTCGCTAGGTGGCTCTATGGCAATGCTAGCTGCCTATGAGCTGTCCAAGAACTACACGGTGAAGGACGTTCTGAAAAAACGCGATGTCCACGATGTGTCATGAAGCTGAGAGCATCGGAGAGCATCACTTGATTCATTACAGATACTACAGGATTCTATTGGCTGAATGGTGCCTCACCTTTGTGCTTGTCGCAGAGCTCGCGTTTTGCTCCTGCAAAGTTGACACTCCAACCTTTGTCATGGGGTTTATTGATTGTTTTTTGTTGTTTATAATTTGAATGCTGCTTGCAAACTGCACGCAGGAAGTCTACACTTTTGGGCAGCCTCGTTGCTTGCATGCAGCCACTGAGAGTAAATGCACATGTGGACACAATGGCTGAGCTGCTCCGAGTCCTATACCCATCAAACTTCATCAAACCCATCAACATCATTACGATCAGGGACCACCCGGAAAGCAAGGTAAATACAAAGCATCAGAAGTCTGGCCGTTTCTGGCACTGCTTCACTGCTGCCCATTGCTCATGGTGATGTTTTACAAAGTAAGGTGATCATAGGTGCATGAGACTTTTCTAGCAATTCCTACAGATGAAAATTATTGTCCCTATTGACTGATATTGTAGGCGCCTTTTCCAACAGCGCATATATATTGCCCAAAGGCCTGCATGTAGTGGCCAGACATCATGCCACCCCCAGCGAGGTGTTGGCAACGAAGCCTGGGTGCAAGCATTCCAAACCAAGATGATCAACGTCCCGTACTTTCGGGCCTGGGCTGTTTGAACATGTTTTGACATTTCTCCCAGTTCCCACACTGCGGTGCTTCGACTTGGCAATGGTTCAGGTCAATGTGCCCTGTGAAAATGCAAATTACATCATGACATCATCATTACATATCATTGCATCATGATGCATGCCTCATGTTCATGACCATGCAGCACATAGATAAACATAGATAAACATGATAAAACCACACACAGTACAGCGCGTGAGCATACTGCAGGTTGTCCATACATGAAGGACATGGTATCACCGCACATGGCTTTGGGATCCTTCGCATGACATCCCATTGCACTGCACACAGTGCTAGATGAATCGGATGCATCGCGGGGAAAAGACAGGTAGATAGATACATTGCACACACGCAGTACAATGACGTACAATGAGATACAATGAGTATATCTTGTAATCGGATGGTTCTTATGTTTGCCCTAGTCCATAGGTGTCCAATGATGTCCAAACATGTCCAAAGTACATCAAAGTACATCCCAAGATCGCGGAAGATAGGGCACATTAGGGCACTGGCGCAGGTTACCGACTATATGGACCCTGTACCACATTTGCCTCCCAGCTGGTTGATGGGATATCGCCATGCCGGTCCAGAGGCGGAATCTTACGGAGAGCTTGTTTTAGACTTTAGAATACTTTAGACCTGTTTTAATATACGTTTTAAGATGTTTTAAGATGTTTTTAAAATTTTGAAAAATATATTTTGAAGTTGTTGTCTTGCGATGAATCAATGCACGAATCACGATAGTCATGTTGTTGCAAGCTTTCATCCTGAACAGGTGTGGTACAACGCAACCATGCTTCAGCACTACAAAATCTGCAGCTGCTGTGCAGAAAACGGAATAATTACTGCACTAGGAATCGATAAGAATTGCATATTCTTCTCCCCATGATGTACATCTTTGTTCGAGGCTACGTACTGAATTCATGGCATCGGGTACAGTCGTGTTATTTGACCACATCATACTGTAACGTGTTGAATTGTTTTGCAGTGCCTAAGCTGTGGTGCCCACAGTACGCCATTGCATCCATTTTTTGCATCGAACATACCATGCAATTGTTTGAGTCGTGCCAGACATGCACAAATGGCAACTGAACCATACATGTATTGTCCTACATGCATCTACATGCATAGATGCAGACATGCTTGTATGGCTTTGAGGCAGAGCACACTGCTCATGCACTGGCACAGATTAATCAAATTCTGGGGTGTAACTTTCCAACTTACAATAGCAAAATCATGCAAAATCTGATTGCAGAAACCATACATAGAGCGTTTGAATCAGCCAGAATGGGTACGTTTCGTACTACTGCCATTTCTACTGCAACTTCAATAGGCGTTATATAGTACAAACTTTGTACAAACTTCCAAATTCGGCTTGTAATACAGGATATACAGGGTGTCAATCTTGTGGATTTGAGTTAGGTGATGGCAATGATGAGACGTGCAGCGCGCAGTTCTCACTTTGGCGGTGCATATTTCATGCCTGTGATCATTGTTCCTACCTGGGAATGTGGCTTGGATTGGCTCGGGCATCGTGTTGGGGCGTGAATGGGGATGCTGAGGGCTTGCTTATTGTTACCTGCAAGCTTTTGAACTACTTTATGGTCCTCAGGGATGGGCAAGTTCTAAGGAATCCATGCGTGGCCAATGATGCTGAGCCCGAATGTATGCAAGGAGCTTCAGCCGCAATCTGTTTTTCGCAAACCACAGAGCGTTGAGCGGTCACGTTTCGCTTCTTTTTTTGTTGCGTTCAATACTTCAACGGGCTCTTTGTTTCTCCTGGAGATGCTTGCACATTTGAGGCGATCTAAAGTAAACGCAGACAAGTGAAGCTTAGCGAGAAGTTTGCAAGTTCCCCTTCCATCAGATCTTGCCTCGTGGAGAAATCAGTACTCTAATTTCATTCTGCTACTTGAGACCGATTACAAACACACAGACGAATCAGACGAACACTTTCATACCATTCAAGCAATCGATATATAGTCAGAATAGCCCATGCTAGTCCATGAATGTGTAGCCTAGCGTTTTGTGCGCCGAATCGCGTGCGGACAATTAGACAATCTCATGCAGCATGTTGCCCCGGTCGTGGAGCATTTTGGAGGTGCTAGGAGTGCCATTGGCTGTTTAAGCACCACCAATGACGCATGCGCTTTGTACAGGATGCGCCACATCTCCGAATTTTCATACTCCATTGGAATCCATTGGAGTGATGGTGAGCTGCGTCAACTTCGTTGGCCCTGCAGTGGCAAAGCTCAAGCAGGATGCAACCATCTCTTTTGCACCTGACAGGTGTATGTGTAGAAGGGCGTGGCCTTGAATACTGACAACCACAGGATCCCTGTTGTGAAAGCAGTATATACTTGTTGCCTATTTGCTTGTCTACTTGTCCTTTGTCAATGTATGATTTTGCTTAGCTTCTTCACTCCACTCTGCTCAACTTCTTTCCTCATTCGCTTCCGCTCCAATAACTAATAACTACTTCCCTCCGTGCAGCACTATTTACTGATAGGCAGGACAATTGCTACCTTTGTTCTCCGGCCACTCTCCTTTCCCCCTCTCTCTCTCTCTCTAGTTCTCCTTTCTCTAGTTCTCCTTTCTCTATGTTTTTGCCTCTTTTTGTTTGTCTATATTCAACAATCGTCTGAATTTGTTGGGAACCTTGCTTCTCTATCCTGGTTTTGTATATTCTGCACATTTAAAATAATAAGATTATGATTTATAATAAGTATTACACATTGTATTTCTATATTTTTGAATTTATCGCTATATATTATATATATACGTGTATATATATACATAAAACATTATGCATACATAGTACTATGTACTTGTTTGCATGTGTGATAAGTGCACGTTATTTGTGCGTGCCTGTGTATGTATGAGTATACGTATGTTTGTTTTTTGCCCATCAGTTCGTTCACAATGCAGCGACATTATTCCTTTTTCAGCATGCGTCATGCGTCCAAAAGTATTTGTTAAGACACTTCATCACGTAGTGCTTTTTCTTTTGATCCAGGCTGAACCCATAGCCCTTTTTCGCCGTTGAATGGATGACATTCAATCATTCAATGGCATTCAGCCAGCTTGTTTGCTCGATCGTTGGTAAAGGTGGTCTCAGATCCACACGAAGTGCAGGCAATGCAGGGTTCAAAAGGTCTTGATGCCTGCCATGAGATCGGCACATGGCCCACATGGCATTTGTGAACACCAGGGTGGCAGTAAACATGATGAAACATTACGAAACATCTTGGATCCGTTTATTTGTTCTTCCTTTAACGACTACTTGAAATTGTAAGTGTGTAGAACTTGGAGTCTTGCTTACTGTTTTATCCTCCAAAGTTTTCTTGCAGAGCACTTCAGTGAGACGGTGTGGCACTTTGATAGTTCCTTGTGTTTCATCAGCGCTGGCAACAAGTAATTGTGGTTCAGCCCCTTTGGCACCCTTTCGAGACTTCAGAGGGTTCATTGGCTGCAGGACTACCAATGCATGAGCCAATCCTTCAGACCAAATAGCAGCGCTATATCAGCGGTCTCTTCAGTGGCTTGGCTCAACCTGCGCTGCCCAGGTATGTGGCCTTGGACAACGAGTTAGACGCACAGAAGAAGGAGATCCAGGCAGCTGACCCAGCCGCTAAAAGTGAAACTGCAAAGCTGTGCCTGGATGTGCCTGGTATGTCGAGACATTTGGATGTTGAATTCTGATTGTTCATCATGTTTATCACATTTCTACAGCACGCATATTATTACGCTTCCTTTAAAATTCTGCAAACACTTATATAAACTTATATTATATACATGTATATACTGTATTTGTATATGTATCCCAAATGTATATATAGGCGTGTATACATATAATAAATATATATATATAACTTATTAGCAGGACAATGCACATATTAATATACATCACATACGCATTTAAGCTCTGTTTATTCTGTTGTCACCACTTCAGGGAGCATGGAAACTGTGGCTTATTTAGCCCTGCTGTACCTTCCGCTTCCAACGCGCTGCAACAATCATTAGGCGACCGGGTCCTTTTCGGCAGAGCCAGCTGCGGAAGCAGGCCCGATTTCTTAGAGCTGAATCGATCACGCCTCGACATGCCTGGCCCTTTTCCATTGAGTTTCTTTCCCATGATGAACATTTTCCCTGGGTATGCCTGGGTACTGGTACTAAGGGTACTAATTATTCGATACTATTCGTGCTTCAGCAGATGATTGCCTTAGCAGGCCGACAGATGGTCCAAAAGGTCATCCGTGATCAGAAGCAGAGTCAGAGTCTCAGAAAGCCCAGCAGTAGCAAGAGATAGCAAGAGATAGCAAGAGTACTCCCAAAACAATTGCAGCCAGGTGCAGAAAGCTGTTTGAAAGCAGTGGAGCACGCCTTGAACACGGACTCTCTCTCTCTCTCTCTCATGCATTGACTTGCAATGCAAGAACGCACGTATGATATTATCAAACATGTTCAAAACATGTTCAACTGATTCCATGCCATCACTGCTATAACTGTCGCCTGAGATCGCCTGAGATCGCCTGAGATCGCCTGAGATCGCCTGAGTGTACAAGAGTCCATCAAGAGTCCAACTGTACGAAGGACCGTGGGCCTTTGGAAGGGCTGATCGAAGCGCAGCAGGCCTGGTCCGGCCAGTCTACTCTGACAGATAAACACACAGACGGAGAGATGTAATTAAATGGTAGAGAAGTAAAGAACTGTAGTTGCAATTTGAATCAATTTGATAATTCCACAATATTTGACACACACACACATATCATATACTGTATATATATACATGTATATATATATATATGTAATTATAATATATTAAGATATAGAAGAGACGCGTGGAGTTGTTCTTTCTCTTTGGCGCCTGTGAGTTGAAACGTTGCTTTTTGGGACCTCAGGCCCCACGCAGTGTGAAGAGTAACGGTGGATCAACACACCGATCGCGACATCTTGAGGTGGGCCTTGTGTGGAGGATGTCAAGTTGACAGAAACCATGTAGACCAAGAAGCCTCGAAGAAGCCTCCAGCAAGAAAAAACAAGAAACAAAAATAGAAAAAACTGCTACGTGCTGAGGCAGCTGCACAAGTTCAAACTTGGGATGTTCTCGAAGAAGCTCAAGGCTCAAATCGGGAATTGATTGTAGAAACCAGGTCAGTTTAATTGTGATTTCTAAGTTTTTTTTAACCATATATAATATATAATATACGTATATATATATATATACTATGTACCTACTACTATATACATAATTACTCTCTTTGGGTCTATACATATATATATTATATAAGACTATTAAGATTGGGATCTAAGTTGTGCAGCTTCCTCAAAGTAGTCCCTCCAACGCACCAAACACAAAAGGGAAAATCATGACATGTCCTCACCTGCTTTTTGCCACTAAAGTTCAGAGGTTCATCACCTTCCATTCTAGCTAGAGTACCAAGACATAAGTGCCCTTTGCGTCCAAAAAAAGCGAAAGAGGGCAAGTGCCTATGAAGTGACCTTAAGGCAGTTACTTGCTGGCGCAAGTGCACATTACAAACCACTTCCTATTGTTCGTGGCTCTAATTTTGGTCGCGTTGACCCGTTCAACCTCACGGTAACTTTGATTGTTGTACTGGATTCCTGTACTGCTGCTTGCTGGCTCGATATCCTTTCCTTATCTTTCTTGTTCAGCTTGCATATCGTTTCTCCAACTGGCGTATAATATCATTGGCCTTGCCAAATCCCAACGGACAACCATGACTCTACATTGTGCCAGCAGCAGGTTGTTGGGGAGCAACTCCGTGAGTGCCAGTCCCACCATGTCGTCATGCGCATATCATGTGCATATCAGTTTTGATGCGGAGGTGTTCTGGAGTCCTTGAAGAAACAAAGTGCTCGTGCTTAGTTTGTTTTCTCCACATGACTCTGATGATCATGGGCATTCATGGGCTGGTGAAGTGTGCTTGAGCAGGTTTGGAAACTGGTCTTGGGCCCTGCTAAGGTCCTGGGAAACCAGTTGCCATGGAGAATCTGAAGCAGCTTGGTGATGAGGCGCACATGTTCTGGTGTGGATGAACCTGAGCTATCAGAGTTGGCCATTCATTCAGATCATTCAGAATCAGAGTTTTTCCATGTTTTTCCCGTGTGACATGCAGGGCTTGCATTTTTCTGATTTTTCTGTGTGCTTTGACTAGGCCTCTAAGCAATTGAAGGAAATATCTGACCAAGCAAAGGCAGTGAAGCAGGAAAGCACTCAGGACGCACCACTCTTGAGCCCACGGCAAAGCCACAGATGTTCGTAGCATTGTGCAGCACAGGATGAGAAGCCCAGTGAAACGCCTTCGGTCAAACGGGGACAGAGGGACTTCGGTTGTCAGACCGTTTTCCGCCTTGGTGGCATGGAGATGGGCTCAGACTTCGATCACGTTGCACTGTACTGAAGATGTCCGTTGTCATACTACAGTTACTACATGTTACATCATGTCATGTTACTACATATAATATATTATAATATAATATCATATAATTAGTTACCATATACAGTAGTTACATGTAGTTACTATAGTCAGGACTCAGTTGAAATGCCCAGGCTTGGCATGCCAATCCTGCGATTCAGAAATTGCTCCCTGGCACAGCTTTGAACGTCTCAGAGGAGAGAGATTCAACATGATTCAACTGATTCAACAGTGAATCTCTTGCAGACTCTAGAAGTTTCAAAACGTGTTCACACAGTGCTTCCTAAGGCTTGAAGAGTTGGCAAAGGCCGGCCACTTTCTAATTCTATGATTAACATTGATTAGCCAATTGTCCTTGGCTGTTGTGACATGCTGTGACATGCTGTGACATGCTGTGACAATCCTGATTCCAAGCCCATCTCCTGTCCCATCCCAGATCAAAATTTTGGCCTTGCATGCAGTGTTGACAAAACTTGAGGTTTCGACACAGGGAGGATCTGGTCAAGAACCTGCCAATTTGGACAAGCTGGAGGGTGAGGTCGGTGGACGACAAATTCACTCTACACATCTGGACACTTTTGGGCACAATCTGGGAAATTGAGAACCAGGACGAGTTTTGAACAAAGGGGCGTAATTTGACCCAAATGATGGGTGGGTGATTCTTTTTTGAGGGTCAAAGGTCCAGGATGGTCTAGGCCTGTATAACTTCAGAACCTGCCTGAGTTGGTGAAGATATGGTGAGTGAGATCTGACTGAATCTGACTGATTGAAATGGCCGTACCGGCAAAGCCGGGTAGAAAGCGCAGCAACTCGTTAGGACAATGTTTCACTTTTTGTTTCCTTTTAAGCACGCTATGTTGAGTGAATGCACAGCCGCACTTGCATGGGCGAGTGCACAGGGCGCAAGAACCGAACAGAACAGAACAGAACGGAGGACAATCCAAGATGAACCTGAAGTCTTCTGAAGGGTGAGTGGCCATTTGGATCCATTTGGGATCATTTGGGCATTGGCAGGTCAATGAAGTCATCAACCACTGGCGCAAAGAATTCATTGGAAAACGCAGGGAGGCGAGCATCACCCGCATCACCAGAAGCCGCAGCAGAAGCACGAAGCTCACGAGATGCTCATTGTTTTTCACGGATTCCTGCAGTGTGCACGATTTCTTGACTCGAAACGTTCTGCAATGCTGTTGAAGTGAGACAGATTTGACCATGTTTGGCCATAACATTGCATTGGACAGATTGTTTGAGGTCAAAGTCGTTTGATGCCTGAAGCGCCAAGCCCAGCATGCCCGGCGAAGCTTGAACTCCGTTCCCATTATTGGCCAGAGTCATCGCTTTCAATTGGCAACTCTTTGGGCATGCAAAGATATGCAAAGCAGACTCATAGCAGACTCATGCAAATTCATGAAATTCTTAGACATTTTTTTGCCTCTGTGTTTTCTTTGAATCAGCTTGCTACCTTTTCGATCTTTGTGGATAGGATGACCACAACAAATGCAAGGGGGGTAAACAGAAGACCTGATAAGATACTTGAAAGATCTTGAAAGTAAAACCTTCGTCGCACATGGAATGCAAAAAAGTACTTTTCCCATCTTTTCCCAAGTGATTTATTCTGCTTTATTCATTATTTTTTGATCTTTTTTGTTCCTTGTTCCCCTTTGTGCCCGTTTGTGTTGCCAGGCAAGTGCTCCGCCGACCTCGCCACCTGCACCACCTGCGCCGCCAACGATGTTGCCTGTTGAAGAATTCACAGCATGTTCCAGCGGGTCTGCTGATTGCATTCTCCTTCCGGGGTAATTAATAAGATTTTATATGATTTTATAAGATCCTACAAGTAGCCTTCTGTGTCATGCCAACTTGCTCCCAGGTTGGAGGCAGATTTGGTGGCACAGGCAGCAAAGAAGAAAGAGGTGGAAGCTGCCCCTGCATCCCCATCGTTGGACAACATCAAGCGGGACGAGGCTTCCGCTCGGCTACGGTGATATTGATCTTTGGCGAGTCAAGTTGGTGCGTGGAGGTGGCGAAAGAAGGACAGTGTCAGGCAATTCTTTGCTTTTGGTAGGTCAGAGTCGAGATCGAGTCCACAAGCTTTCAAAGTTCCCAGCCTTTCCCTTACAACACGTAAAGAGAAAACGTTTCATGTCGTTTTGCTTTGGAAAGCTTACCTGGTATGATTGCAAACAGATATCTTGAATATTCTAGAATGAGACAAAGATTGAGACAAGTGCTTGAGATGCACGTAGCACATCGTGGCACCACATCTAGGTTCGACAACAACAAGCCCGCGCCCAGCATGGACCAGGCCTGTTCGGGCTGGTGACATCATTCTTGTGGATAAAAGACACGCTTTCCATAGCTTTCCAGTGTTTGAATATGTAATGTTATGCAATATGATATATGTTTGAAATTGTTTGAATATGTTTGAAAATGTTTGAGTATGTGTGAATATGTCGATGCACATCATTTGACCTCCGAGGTGCTGGATGATTCCAGGAGACCGGATTCATCGGGATTCCTTTTCTTTTCCAATCATTTTATTCATTTCTACATTTTTCTGAGCTTAATGCTGGTCAATGGGTATTTCAGGACCCTAAAATGGAGGTACTGTACCATATAAGGCCATATTTTGTAGGGATATTCCCTTACATAAGCCTTACATAGGCCTTATATATGGTAGGTACCTCCAATTTAGGTTCCTGAAATGGCTATTGAGCTGGCCCTGTTTTAGTCAAGTCAGGCTCACTAGTTGTTAACTTCAATGATGCCTTTTACATCCTTTTACAAAGATGCTGCCGCCACTTGCATAGACCATCAAATCCCCCCGTGTGCGCCCAAGAACTAAGAACGCTAAATTAACGCAATAATTTGAGTTAGCGGCGTCTAAAGAGATGTTTAAAGTATATACTTCACCACACGTTGTCATGCTTAACCTGCAAGTTGTGCATCATGTCCTTAGGACCAAGTCATGACACAGAGAGAGAGAGAGACAGAGAGAGAAGTTGCGCGATAGATGCTTCTTAACTACTGGCAACAACAAACATACATAATATGATACCTCAAACTGTAGAAAATTCGAAGCCAAGCAGAAAAAACAATTTGCATTCCAGCGAGCAAGTGCAAACAAGATACCTAAAGTTTCTGGGCACATTTTGTCAAACCGTTCCTGAGAACCGGAAACGAAATGGTCAGACAGATTTGGCCAAGCAGATGTCAAGTATTTTTACATTTTGCCACAACTTGTAGGTAGAAACTTGATGCATTCGAGTGCGTCGGAGAGTATCATATCACTTTCAGGAGGCCTGAGACAGAAGATGCCAGACCCCCTTCTGGAAATCTATCCAGCAGGCATGCTACAAACTGAATGCAACGCTGTTTGCCCATGTTTTCCTTAATCCACCGATCTTACTTCTCTGATTTAACTTGGCTTTCACCAGCTCAGCTTTGCTA